GATTAGGCCTCAAGAGCTAAATTATTCAAAGCAACCCATATTTGTCCACTTGCTTCAACGAAGTCACACCTAAAATCACGGTGTCTCTGTGAAATTTCCACTCTATGGTAACTGAAACACAATTCTGTGAGGAAACGTCTGGTCAGTTATGCCTTCTTTAGGCGGTCAAAATGTTCAGTCTACAAATTATGATTTGCACGAAATGAACGCATTGCTTAAGCACTGGATTTTCAGTTTATTTAACCTAGTCTATAGCTACGAAACTCCTTGAAAACATCAGTTTTGTATACGAAGTGAACTCAGCATAATTAAACATCAAGTATTCCTTTTACATACGTAGATAAACGACTAGTATATACTGATTCCATCTTTGACAACATAATTATTATGATTTATGCATTACAGTGTCTTCCTGTGTGCTAGAATTTTCTTTCGTAACACTGTACACGGTCAAAATCAGTTCCTAAAAAAATTCACTGCTTTCATAATGTCAAAATTTATCAGTAAAGTTGCAAGTATGTCATCGCAACAAAATAAATAGATAGATGTGTAGCCTGGTTTAATGCAACGTTCTATATGTAAATGAGTGACACTAAAGGCCATTCCATCCACAACTAAAATAGTCAATGAGACTTCTACGTTTTAAGAAAGTCTACGTTTTCAATCAAAATAAAACCAATTGATTACTTCACTTGTCACTAGGGTGGTCTTTAAATTTGCTGAATTAATTATTTGATCAACGTTACATTTAAAAGCCTATTTTTATGGTTAGTGCATACAGAGTTAACAATAGGCAAATATTTGAATTCAAGATTATCAGAATGTGACGCAAAATTATTGGTGAATATATGCGTCAGCTTTTTTTTACCATAAAAACTTCTCTTCTAGATTTCGTAGCATCACTTAATTATCATATGAGTAACGCAGATGAATAAGTTACACTCTGATGAATAAGCAAGTCACTTGATGGGGTCATAAACTTTCCTTAACCAAGGAGACTGGGTTAGCGTTTACCCCAACGTGTTACATAAATTTAAATCGCATTTTGCTGATAAAGAGTTAAGTGTAGACAGATCATAACATGAAGTCTTCAGCTGCTGGTTTTATTCATGTAAAAGGATGTAAACTCTCTCGTTAGGGTTAACCCGTCAACTGGTATCGATGGTCAAATGCTGGAGTGATACGGTTGAGGAATAACCTTAGTGGCACAGATGCATCCGCATTCATCGTCATCCTATTCGTCATATTAAAATTTGTTATGTACTCTATTGTCTTATTCCTCTCTTCTTATAACTTTCTAGGATTCTTAAATACATTTCTTAAATTCCTCCAGGATTTTGTTTTACTGTGCTGATGTGACAACTCGCAGCGTTACGTTAGAATTCTACGTCCGGTGAACATACTGACTGAGTGACTTTAAATTTAGGATAGAACACTACCAAACCTTGAAATAGTAGAGAATATTTATAGCTCAGGTGGATGGTCCTGGTTGTATTGTATTCTCTGAGCTGGGTTGTTTAATCGCAGGGCTTTCATCGTTGGACCTATACTGAAGTTAGTGCTGACGAAGTCGTCTAGAAAGACGACTAAACAACCCAGCTCAGGGAACACAATACAACCAAGACTAATAAACCTTATTTCTCAAGAAAAAGCATACCATTCGGAATAAAAACTGCTAAAACTGATTCATTAGGTTACTGTGAAACATACAAAACAGCAGAAAAAATTACAACTCTTACCGAAAAAGCTGGCAGTGGGACTAAATTGCACAAAGCTCTGTCGTTAGTCTGACTATCCCATGAATCTGTAGAAACAGATGGACACATTTTTCCAGTCAACTGATTATAGGCATCAGTTAATTGAATACACCTCAAGCATTTTAATGAATGACTCTCAGATGATGCAGGAAAGACAGGGAGTCCAGACTGATGTTGAATTTTCAAGGTAATTCGTAGGCTGAGTGATGCACGGTAAATAAGAATTAGATCATTTGTTGACAAGGCAATAATCACTATACCACGAACAGGTCGGATGTAATTATTATACAGTGAGGAAATCTAGGATTGAAAAGACACTAGTATTAATGAAAACCTTAGTAATTTATCAGCGTGTAACAAGAATAACAGCCTTACTGCATGAGTACATGTATGCTACCATCAAAAAGATGTATCACTGAGAAATATGTTATGAACTTTATTAGGGGTATCTGATAAGTATTAGTATGATCAACACACTCAATGAATTTGTAACTATTGGTAGGGAAACGCAGAGTAAAAATAACACACTTAAATGTTCTAATTCAGACAGAAAACAAGCTGTTCACTGCCCCTTGATATCTTACAGTTTTACCAGGTAACATAAGTCATCTACTAAAAATGTACTGAAGATTCAATAAAATTAAACATAACTAGTTTGTCGAAATCTACTAAACACAGAAAAAGCACCTATTTTAGATGACCAAAGTCATATTTACGTGTTATTGAATAAATCAGTCAACAAAATGACTACTTTTAATCACAACTACCAGAAAGACGATGAGTAAGCGCAAACACCATCAGTCACTTAATTAAGTAATATGACATCTCATTTTCGTAACCATACAGCCTGATAGTAATCCATAGAAACACTTGAGCGAAGCCAAAATGTGTAACTGATATGTCTGTTAAATAAAAGCGACTAATATTATTTCTTTGTTAAGAGTGAAGTTGATGTAAATCTGACATCATAAATCTGATGAACAACAAACAAAAATGTCTACATGTAATTCCATTGTCCGAATGTCAAGGGGTTTAATATAATCACGATTTTAAACAGCATGCTATGTTACTTTTATATTAGATTTTAACTATTAAAATTGAGAATAATAAGCTGACACATTCAAAACCAGTTCATTTTGAAATGAAAAAACGGATAGGATAGTAGTGTTAACTTTAAGAGTGACAATTTAGTTCAGTCTATCGCAAAAACCTGCAGGTTGAAACCGTTATTTGATAATAATAATAATAATAATAATAATAATAATAATAATAATAATAATAATAATAATAATAATCGTGACAGTGATGACAGCGTAAAAAATGAAGAAAAAGTACAAACCATCGTTACGTAATTACCTTAAGGCCATTGTAAGACAAAACAAGATCCTGAAGATACTCCACAGACTGAAGAATTGCAGTGTATTCAACAGTGTCTGTCGACAAAAAAAAAATAACAGAAGAAACTTAATCTTTCTCAGCTTTATCTGAATTTATCATACTGTTTCAAAAAAATTTTGAATTAGGCTTTTTACGATCACAAGTGAGAAAATAAATACTCTACAATTACACAATAGATGACACCGATTGTGAATAAAAGGGAACCTGTGATAAAATGTGGAATCATGAGAAGAAAAAAATAACTATAATAATGATGTCAACAGTGGGAAGCAAAAGCTTAGGAAGCCAGGTGGAAGATATAGTGAGGATAATGTATGCAAAATGAGAACATTGTGAATGTTTGCATCCGTATACGGTCTAAATGCAACTACGACATTCCAATCGGTCTGAAGTCTAGAATAATCGATTTCGCACTTCCCAAAAGTGGCATAGATGACTGAAAACCGATCGGACTTCCTATACCTATATCGATATCACTTCCGTAACCGACCTATCATGTTAACAAATCCAATAATTTGGCTGTTAACTGTTAGATGATGCATTGGTGCTTACCTATTTTGCAGAAAAATTTCGATTTTAGTAACGTGGAAATAGTGCATTCGTTAATGATAGCTTGATGTTCAAATACTTCTCAAGATTTTCTTAACATTAGTTAACAGCAATATGTTGTACGTGTTAAAAAGAATACTCACGGTACAATCAGCCTATAAGAAGTTCAGGGAAGAAAAGATTATTTTCAAAAACATATTCGAGATAAAGATGAGCAAAAACAGGGTTTAAATCCCAGTAAAAAAACAATCGACGTAGACACCTCTAAGGATTGATCACGATCTATCATTTCTGAATAATCATGATGTTTGTTTACCAAAAGTTACTAATGAAGGAGATTGAAGGACGAATAGAAGACAGTCAATTAAAGACTGGAAATGTTCTTTCTGCCTCTCATTCTGAAGGTAGATTGCCTACTCATATTTCAAAGCGATATACTCGCTACCATTTTCACAAATCTGAACAGTTGTTTAATCCATCTTTTATGTTTTACCTGTCGACTGTTAGACATGATCATAGCTTAAGCACTTTGAAAGTTAATAATGTCGATGTATTTAGTCCTCATGTTCAAAGTCAGTCGGTTTGAGTTCATGAGCTCACATAAGATAGACAGATTTGTAGTAATTAGTATTTTGAGATCATGGAGAATATCTGTAGCTCAGGAGGGTGATTTTGATGACGTTGTGTCCTCTGAGCTGGATGGTTCAATCGTGAAGATTTCATTTTCATTCTAGACATCATCAGCACGAAATTCAGAAGTTTGAGTCAAATTGACTCGATACAGTCCTTGGATATGATATTTAAAAAGGAGAAGCTCATTGAAGATCAGATGATGATGATGGTCAATGATCGTCGCATTATCTTGAGTCCTTCAGTCGCCAAATAGATGTCAGTGTTGATCTTCGTAAGTGACCGTTATACAACGAATTAATCAATATCAACATAGGACCACGTATTACTTCTCAACGGTCCAAGTTGTCACACCTCACATCTGCACGACAACTAACAATGCAGAAGGATGAAAGATGGAGAAAGAGAGAAAAATCGGTCAAAAGCAGTAGAAAGCACTGAAAGAGAGGAAGGAAGAATGAGATGCTGAATTCGGAATATCTGTTAAGATGAAGATAAAGTGTGGATACATCTGCGCCACCGACATCGACTCTAAGCCATATTACATAGAGTCTACAACCACTGATTTCTGTTGTCAAGTGAACCCCAACCGGCTGTCTGTATCTCCCTCCAGACATGGCTAGCGGTCCCGAGTCTTCTTCAGCCTGAGTCTACTTCATCTAACATTGCGCGATGAGGCAGTCGATGATTAGGTATGTGTAACACATGTCTTGGTCATCTCAGTTGATAGAAGGTTACAATTTTATCAACTGCCTTTCCTCTCCTCTCTAAAACTCTACGCCTGACTTCGACGTTACTCACCTGGTGACACCATGACACATGACCTATGCTACAAAGGCAACGGTGGTCAAGTACCTGAAGCCTTCTCACGTCTTTAACCTTTAATGACCATGTTTCACAGCCATACAGTAGGACAGAGAGGAATGCGGCACATTACACTATATCCTTAATAGACAATCGGATATCACGGCGTCGGCACAGATGGTGCAAGCTGGCAAAAGCCAACCGAGCCTTTTGTATTCATGCAGAGATTTCGTCGGCCACTGACCCACCAAGACTGATTTGACTTCCCAGGTAAGTGAAAAACGCATTCCGAACATTCTCAAATCGCTACTCAAGCTGTCCAGGAGACTTTGAATCTTGTCAGCATCTTCACGGACAGAACTGTCATCTGCGTACTCTATATTCACCAAGGAGTCTCCTGTAACTAGACCAGCTCCCGATAAGTCAGACGACCAGAGGGAGACCTCAATAAGAACGTTCACAATGAAATCGAATAGCAGTGAAGAGTGGGCATTCTTGATGGACACCACTCCATGCACACAGGTCGCCTGACAACTCACCATAGGCTGTAACACACCCACAGGTGTTCGAGTAAAGAGCCCTCAACAGATTGATGTACTTATTGGGTACCTCTTTCAGTAAGAGACACTGTCATGAGATCTGTAGATTAATAGAGTCGAATGCCGCCTTCAGGTCAAGAAATATAACTAGTGTCTGACCTATGTTCATGAACCTGGTGAAGTGTGAATATCTGGTCGATACACCCACGGCCAGGTCTGAAGCCTGACTGGCTTTCTCGGCTTTCCTGTTCCCGAGCTCCAATCAGGCGTTTATTGATTGTAGAACCTAGAATCATAGACACTATGTTCGTCAAGCTGATCCTTCTGTTGTTAACGCAAGAGCATTCCCCATCTTTCCTCAAGACTGGGACAATCAGTGATTGAGACCAGTCAGAGGGGATCGTATCTGATTCTCACACACTAGTTAACACTTCAGTCAAATTGAATAAAAATCCTTAAACACCGTCCAAAAATGTCTCTGGAACTAGTTCATCTGGTCCTGCTGCTCTGCCTCGTTTCAAGTTACTCACAGCTTTCTCAACTTCTGCAAGTGTTGAGTCTCCTAATTCAATGTTCCATTCAGGCTACGAGTGGATACTGGACAACGAAATATTAGCTGGAGGTCAGTTAAACTGTTGCTCGAAGTGTTTCGCCCATCGTTCCAATAATCTCCCTGTGAGTCAATCCCAGATCCATCCTTTTCCTTTATCGTCTCACTAACCATTGACTTTTCGCTCCTGTTTCCTCAATAATTCGAAATAACTGTCTACTATTACCTATCGCCTCTGCCTTTTTCATTTCTTTAGCCTTCGCTACCCGTCATATATAATGGCAACGAGGACAAAAGTATGGGGAGAAATGACAGTTTGATGGAACTTTGTGTTCAACCTTAAAACGCGAAATGTGGTGAAAGCTTCCCACATTTTGGATAATTATCTTGACAGTGAGCGAGGAGTACTACTTAGGTCCTCGTGTCTATCATTAAATATGCAGTTGCATAAGCATCACTCAACCGATTAGCGCGGGACTAAGTCCTAGCCTGACCTAGTCACGTAGTTAGTTTTACATTTTCAAACTCCATACTGTATCCACAATGGAAATTTTAAAATACAAGATTCTAAATTTGCATGCCGGTAGAATTCTTTAAAAAATAAACTTTACACAGGCTGATGAGTTTTAAAAAATCGCATATTTTTGAGTCCGCGATGTTCAATGAAAATCTTGCAATAACAAGTTTGTTTAAAAAGTTATCTAAATTTTTAAGCCAAAAAATTAAACAATTTATTAAGGCAATTCAATGGATATAGATTCAACAGGTTTTTAAAAGCAATCCATAGGACAGGAAAAACAACTCACAGTAGTTAGGGAATATATGGATTTGCTAGCGTTTAACAATTCTTCTAAATGCTGTCTAGCAATCATATGAGGATTGAAGTCCACGTTCACTAGATTACAATCACTGTTATGATCATCAGACGCCAGTTCTATTGGTTTACTGTTCAGTGGAACTGGTCGAAAACCCAGAGCCAATGTAAATCTGTGACCGGTTGGATTAGATATATCAACCTGGTAAAATATATGACTTACGATTATGAAACTCTGTAGTGGAGTTTTAAATAGGAGGAATTATATTTAGGAATATAATAATCATAATCATGTTAACAATCGCTTTATTGCGGAAAATATGTCTGATACAGTGTAGAATTCGCTCCATACCAAACACTTTCCCACTGACTATTGAAGAAGTTAGAAAAGACTCGAGAGAAATTACTAAGACATACACTTCAAAAAACTCTTAAGAACTTTGTTGAAAGAATAATCATCTCAATTTTCCGGACAAATACCTGGTATCATATGACATGACCGCCTTATTCGCAAGGATATCTCATCTTGAAACAATAGCTATTATTTTTTTAATACACAGATAATATCCCATTACCAAAAACTGGCATCCGGCGTCTTCTGCTGCATGTATATAACTGATATCTTAAGACGTATTATATAAGGCATGTTAGTACTTGTTAGAGTGATCATTTACTCATTTCTCCAGGTCACATGCAGTCGGTGAAAATCCTATTAAATAAAATGACCACCTTATTCTGGAAATGTTCTTATTGCATTATTCAACAGCCATTCATCTTACTAGATTCTTGATTTTGTGTACGCAGCTTTCTATATGATCACGTAACCCGCTTTCACAATTTACGAATTTGGACGCAGCGAAGAAATATATTCCACTTCAATTAGGTCTTCGTCTTTTGTTCTGTATAGGCTATATATATATATATATATATATATATATATATATATATATATATATATATATATATATACTAGTATGGGACTCCTCAGCAGTACGCACCCACGACCCGGCTAGGGATCGAATTCAGGGCCTCCAGGTTTCACGGCGAACGCGTTAACCATTCAGCCACTGGGTCGGTTTCTAGTGGTTCACAATTTCAACTTCTGTCAACTCACGACATAGCGCGACTGTCACCCAAGGTCTTCAGTTACCATCCACTTCACTTCCGACTGGTTGACCCCACAGGTCACTGCTGAGGAGTCCCATACTGGGACGAAACAGATGTCCAGTGCTCCCGGATTTTCAATGGTTCCCCAACTGATGTCAGTCTATGATGAATACTACTTCTAAATTAAAAATCCCCATTCATCTCAAATATACATATATACATATATATATACATATATATATATATATATATATATATATATATATATATATATATATATATATATATATATATATAGGCTTATAACTCAATCAAAATATCTAACAATTAAAAATGGTAATTATAATAATGTGAAATAGGTTATCCTCGTGCAAATAGTAAATAGTAACTGGTAAGGTAAGTCAATCATAAACAATAAACAGTTATCATGTAAGAACAGGAAAGCAAATGAATATTGGTAGAATTGGAAGGGGAATAGGTGTACAGGTAATACTAAAAGCCACATCCTGTTGTCGGACACGAAAATGCAAGTGATTGAATATATTCTTTTGAATACAAAGGTTAGGTTTGTAAATATGGATTGTAATAGCCTCTGCTATATCAAGTAAACGAATGTGTAACCCATATATGTGGTAAATTAGTTGGTATATGATGCATACTTTCAAATGCTTTACTAGTATCCACTCAATGTCTGGGGTCAACTGTGTGTGTATGGAGCTCTACATTGTTCGAATCCTTCCCTTCTTTATCCATAATGGTTTTTACACCCCTTCTCCATCTTGTTCTACCAATATTCATTTGCGTTCTTATTCTTACATAATAATTACTTATTGTTATGATTGATCACTCGAGGGAAACCACTCCATTTACATTACTAGTTACTATTTGCCTGAAAATAACCTTTTTCACATTGTTGTAATTAACATTTTTAATCCCGTGTAATTACTCTGTTGGTTATTTGCATCTCGATTTATCAAACATATCATTTTCATGACTTAATTAAAATCTATAATCGTTGTTTATCAACCCGACCGATAGCTGCTACCTTGACGTGGTGGTCGGGCTTGCATATCACAATGACCCAACGAGCTATGCTGGTGGAACGCTTGTTCCCTCGAGGTCCTACCATACCAGAAAGGTCTGTTGGGTAGTGGTTAGACGAAAAGCAGTTACCGTCATAGTGTAAATTGCTACACTATGATGGGGGTCTGAGGGCGAAGTCGTACTGCTGCTAGCTGGATGGGGTGTGACAGCAGTAAGGTGTTTCCCTTGGATGACCAGCAGTGCCAAGCTGATGCTGCCTTCTCAGTGGAAGGGGGGGTTAGAAAAGGTCGGCCCCAAAAATAACACACTCCACCACGCCCCACGGTCTGCCGGGCCGGCGGTGTTGGTTCACTTGTCGTTTCCTTTCGCTCATCCGGCCCCAAAAATACAAAATTCAAAATAATCATACTCAAAAGGCTGGGTGTGACAGGCCTCAAGCAGATGTCCGATGGGCTCTGCGGTCACACAAATCTCTTTCAGGTACCTTAAGAAGAAATAGCCTTCCACGGTGTGGGCAGCCGGGAAGTGTCAACCGCCCTCACAACTCTGTCAGCACCCAAGTTTCTTCTGACTGCTATCCTCCTCCTCCATCATTACCTTCTAATCTTCCTTCACGTCTCTTAATTAATGATGCTGCATCATCTTCAATTTCTCCTACCTCTGCAGCCTTCGACAACGATCTGAGTCCACAGAACAGCATCCCTGGTCTCCTTAAACCACGCTCCAAATTACATATTGGAGCCTTCAATGTCCGCACCCTCCGTCAAATTGGCCAACAGGCTTCGTTGGCAAAGACTCTAGCAACTCGGGGCATGGATGTGTGCTGTGTTTGTGAGACACGCATACAGGACCCAAGTGTGGTTATTCACCTGACCTCTCCTGACCAATCTGGTGAATCTGCAAAATTCACCCTTCGAGTTTCTGGAGATTCGATAGCTAGCTCTCGTGGTCTTGCAGGTGTAGGTATAGCATTAAGCACCAGGGCAGAAAACTCACTACTAGACTGGATCCCAGTTGATAGTCGCCTCTGCGCTATGAGGCTGAACGGCACAGTGAGAACTAAAAGGAATAGTGAGACTCGCCGTTGTCTCTTTGTAATCTCTGCTTACGCACCCACTGACTGTAGTTCGGATGAAGTGAAGGACGAGTTCTACCATAAACTGTCTAACCTCCTCTCGAAAGCCAAACGTTCGGACGTAGTGGTTGTTGCAGGTGACCTCAACGCACAGGTGGGTAGACTGAGTGAGGCAGAAAGGCACTTAGGTGGCACTTTCGGAATCCCAGCTGAACGTACAGATAACGGTGATCGCCTATTACAACTATGCTCAGATAACCGCCTATTTTTAGCCAGCACAAATTTCAGACATAAAGAAAGGCACTGTCTGACCTGGCGTCCACCGAGCTCGACTCAGCGATGGACACAGATAGACCACATTGCTATTAGTCATCGCTGGAGAGGATCGGTGGAAGACTGCCGCTCCTTCTGGAGTACGTGTTTGGACAGCGATCATGCGTTGGTCCGAGCACGTATATGCCTGCGTCTCAATGGACGTAGAAAAAATTTGGCAACAAAACCACTACGAGTTCTGCTGGACAACGAAAACACCAAAGCCGTGTTCAGTGAGAAGTTGGCTAGGCAGTTATCGGAACAAAAGACTGTCACTCATCCAGAAGAAGCTTGGTGCCATCTTCAGTCTACTGTAAAAGCAGCACTGGAGACTGTAGCCGACTCCAAGATAATGGCTAAAAAGAGCCAGTGGATATCAGCAGCTTCTTCCAAACTAATGGATGCACGTGAATGCATCCCTGCAGGCTCTGAGTACAATGAAGAGCGAGCGCAACTTAAAAATAAACTGACGAAAAGTCTGCGCAACGATCGTGAACAGTGGTGGGCAGCAAAGGCTAAAGAGATGGAAAAGGCAGCGGCGATCGGTAACAGTAGACAGTTATTTAGACTTATTAAGGAGACTGGGGGGAAATGGTCAACAACAGTTAGTGAGGTTATAGCGGAGAAGGACGGATCGGCGATTCACTCGCAGGGAAGGCGACTGGGACGATGGGCAGAACACTTTGAGGAACAGTTTAACTGGCCTCCAGCCACCATTGCGCTGCCCGCTATCCAGTCGGACCCTGAATGGGACATAGAGACAGGTCCCCCAACACTAGAAGAAGTTGAGAAAGCGGTAGGTAGCCTGAAACGGGGAAGGGCAGCAGGACCAGACGGACTACCTGCTGAGGTATACAAGAATGGTGGTAGAGTTCTCTTAGTCAGGCTAACGGAAGTGTTAGCCAGTATATGGGAATCAAATACGATCCCCTCCGACTGGTCTAAGTCACTCATCATCCCAGTCTTCAAGAAAGGCGAGAAGTCCTCTTGTGATAACCACAGAGGAATCAGCCTGACAAACATAGTGTCTAAGATCCTAAGTTCTATAATTCTCCGACGCCTGAGTGGAGCTCGGGAACAGCAAGCCCGAGAAAACCAGGCAGGCTTTAGACCTGGCCGTGGATGTATCGACCAAATATTCACACTGCGCCAGGTCCTGGAACATAGGCATGCTTACAGACGCCCGACAATAGCTGTATTTCTCGACCTGAAGGCGGCATTTGACTCCGTTGATCGAGAAGTCTTATGGCAGTGTCTGTCACTGAAAGGCGTGCCTAGTAAGTACATCACCTTATTGAAAGCTCTCTACTCGAACACTTGTGGGCATGTTAGAGCCTATGGTGAGTTGTCCAGGGAGCTATACTCATCAAGTGGTGTCCGTCAAGGATGCCCACTATCCCCATTCTTATTTAATTTTATCATAGATATTCTTATGGAGGTTTCCCTCTCGTCACCTAATTACACAGACGTTGACCCGATCACAGGTGAATTTTCCTTAGATCTAGAATATGCAGATGACATAGTCCTGTTAGGTGAAGACGCTGACAAGATGCAGAGTCTTCTGAACACTTTGAGTGGGAATTTGAGAATGTTTGGGATGCGATTTTCACCACCCAAATGCAAATTTTTGCTCCAGGACTGGTCTTCAGCGGTACCCCACCGCGGTTAACAATAGAGAGTGAAGTGGTTGAGTGTGTTGACCACTTCACTTACCTGGGAAGTAGGATCAACCCGGTGGGTTAGTTGCCGATGAGATTTCTGCACGGATACAAAAGGCTCGATTGGCTTTTGCCAATTTGCGCCACCTATGGCGCCGCCGTGATATTCGTTTGTCTATTAAGGGTCGCGTGTACTGCACAGCAGTCCGCTCTGTTCTACTGTATGGCTGTGAAACATGGCCATTGAAAGTGGAAGATATAAAAAGGCTTCAGGTGTTTGACCACCGTTGCCTTCGTAGTATAGGACGTATTCCGTGGTGTCACCATGTGAGTAATGCAGAAGTTAGGTGTAGAGTTTTAGGGAGAAGAGGTAAGTCAGTCGACGAGGTTGTGAACCTTCATCGACTGAGATGGTTGGGACACGTACTACGTATGCCTAGTCACCGATTGCCTCGTCACACAATGTTGGCTGAGGTGGGTTCAGGCTGGAAAAAGGCCCGAGGTGGCCAGACTAAAACATGGCACCAATGTATGAAGTCTCTGACTGTTGGTTTAAGCCATGTAGGACGATGCAGACTAGGTGGTTGGGGTCCACGGGACAAGAGGAACCAGTGGTTGGAGACCCTAGGTGATATGGCTCAGAACCGAAGTCAGTGGCGCAGATGTATACACACATTATCCTCATCTTAACAACGCTATACCGAATCTCACTATTTTGTCACTCCTCTTTCCTTTCTTCTCGTACTTTATATTTCTTTTGACTGCATTCACTTATCTTCATCCTTCACCTCACTACCTTTTTACTTGATGTGCTGATATGAGGTGTGGCAACTCGGACCGTTACGCAGTAATGCCTGGTCCTATGTTGATAATGATGATGATGTTTATCACCCCCACCCCTACACTCGATTGGTATTTGATTGAACTGTAAGTGTATATATTGGTGTAGAGCCAAACACGTAGTCTTAATTGAAAAGAATGTATTTCTTCGCTCAATGAGTCTTTTTTTTAAATGCCTAAATAGGAATTGACAATATCCGAATTATTCTGGCTCCCTATTCCAGAACATTCATATCGCCTAATTATAGATGAGTTGCGTCTATGGGAACTTTATGATAGTGTTTCTCACTCTACGTCTTCAAAGCCTGAACTAATAATCACATCCGTATATTGGTTATTCATGTATCTATTGCGATTTTGAGCAGCTGATGATGATGCTGTTAGACAGATGATGTCATTTGAGCCTCCTAATAACGTTCACGAATGCGTTGCTCAGCATCTACTATCCACATGGGGTTGACAAATCTCCTGGCTTTTTCCAACGTTCGTCTAACAGTCAGTTACAGTATCTACCACCGTTTATACAGCAAACTAGAGATCAAGCTAAGTTTTAAAAGTCTTCACAAGATGAATAATAATATGTTTTTCTGTAAGATGCTAATATTTACTCGTAGAATTCATGCTTTTCATCATCTGAGCTAAAAATGAGTGGGTGTGCAGAAACGGCGTGCATTGAAATACTGTTCAAATGAACAGTCTACTGGTATTCATTCCAGAAGTGCACATTCTCCAAAACGTAGTTCATATGCTAACACCTGCAGAACAGTAGAGCTTACCTCAGTTTCTTAAGTTACCAGATGCATAAGTCGTGCAAACGCAACCCAAGTGAGAAGTGAATAATTAATTTTGGGTCCTGCATGAGTACTATGCAAAGACAGCATATAATTATTATGGACGAGAATAAAAGAGCTTTGGTAAACGAGATTCGTATCCCAAGGAAAACAGACGGTGTTAAGGATATCTGATCCTTAAAAAACTAACTTATAATATGGATATATTTTTAATGTGAAATTCAAACTATTTTCGTGCCTTTTTTGCTCCATGCAATGGTTGTTACTTTTACCACGGTTTAGGTTAGTAAACGCTGACTGGTCCATTTTACACTTTTGATTTACTATTTTGTTTTCCCTGGTCAACGCCCCGAAAAAAGTATGTAAACGACTGAACTTCCAGCTATAATCGCACTATTCGGCTGAGGTAATATACCTTCAAACGCAGTTTCTTCTTCTGGTGTCAGTTGAGTATCGTGTTGAACAGTCATTGTTGTATTGTTAATCGTACCGCATCGGAGCATTATAGGGTTCATATATAAATACCGGAAAAGAAAACAGTTTAGGGTAATGAAAATTAGAGATGCTGTTTCATGAACCTGAATAGTCAGCATGAGATGCTGAGCTAGAAGAAACTATAGGTATTATAGAATTATTGTCATTAGGAAGGTAACGAGAACTGTCGGTAATGATCATCAGAAACCTGAATAGTGCTAAAAGTACACGAACACTTTACATTTTCCAACTATCTGCATTGCGGAACATAATTTCTTTTCAAGATGATTGGAAGAAAGTGAACCATTCTTATATGACCGGAAGGAATTCACTTGAGGTCGGTCACACACGGTCTTTGGAAGAATATTCACATATTTAAAACCTTTATTACCATTGACGTTAGGGTGCATGATAAGATTAGATGCATAGTTACTAGGGTGAATTTAGTGGGTAACACACTAACGCTGTCGAACCACCGTTCAATCAGCAGTAGGATTTCCGTCCTCTCAACCATCTCCTAACCATAAGCATAGGTTACATATACACTATGATGGTAAATGCTTTTAGTTTTATTCAACTGACTTTTCTGACGTGATACCACCAGTGCGTTCAACTACCACCTACAAGGCAAAATTGAGACTCGCTAAAAATATCCACAAAAAGGATGTACTACATGGTTTAAATTAAAATGAACTAAGGCACAGGATAAAAACACACAAGCAGTATATGTCTGCAAAAGGAAACTTGGTTGCACGATACCATTCAATGACTAATTATTTGAATAGAAACTCACCAAATAAGCTGTACCGTAGATCAGTGATAATGACCGAAGATTATATGAATAAACTTGTGCACAGTTGGGAGATAAACATCTGTGTAAAGTACAAAATATGGATAGGGAATTTACATACAAAATATAAAACACCTGCTTAGAAAGTAAAGTTGGAAACCAATACGACTTTAGTTCAATTATAAAAGCCTGGATTCTGGTAACTAATTCAGCTAAGATATTTACATATCCGAATGAAAAAAATGGAAAAAAACTACGGCTACTCATTTTCACATGCTTCAGTTGGCGTAGTTTATAAGATGAAACCGAAAAAGTATGCTAGGAATTCATACAGTTTCACAGTAAAAAGAAAACATAACTAAAGCTTCAATAGCCAAAAATGAATGTCTGATTCAGATGCATAGGGAAATTAGGTATTTACGTAGTAAATGGAAGTAATATGATGAAATTAACAATTTAATTATAATATGAGGTTGTCAGGGATTTAATTTTACGGTAGTATTCATCGTAGAGTGATACCAGTTAGACAGAAGTAGAAAACTGTGGACCATCGAACTCCAAACCAGTGGCTGAATGGTCAACGCGTTCATCGTGAAATCTGAAGGTCTCTCGTGAGGCCGTACTGCTGAAGAGAGCAGTACTACGACGGGAAAGCTCTCTTATGCTCTCACGTTTTCAAAATTCTCCAATTGATCTCAGTTTGTGACGAATACTACCTTAATAATCCAATTTTAGTTGAACTTGATTGTATCACAATTCGATTTCAAATGTGTACTTGGAACTTGATTTTCGACCCATGGAATAGACTAAATACACGAGAAATTTGAAATATCGCTTTGGATGAATTAATAAAAATCTAAAAATAATTTTAAAACAGTAAAGAAAACCATGAAGGTTTCTGCCAGAAGCTCATTAAATGTTTTCGTGTTGTGAAATGCTGAGAACCAGACAAGTGGAGAAATTGTGTGCTCAATATGACATATGCTTGAGTACCCGTATAAGATAATCAAGTGATCCTCAACTGAGTGATACGTTATAAATTTCATTTCATAATTCAGACTGTTTTTTCTGCATACTGATCTGTTAGCTCTCTCAGCTAGGTAACATAATTCAAAAAAATTTTAAAAATGTTCACAGAGAGAGTGAGTGATTCATGTTTACGTGAGGACGGGTTTTTGGTTGGGTTTCAATAAAATAATAAACTGACCCATAGTTGAAGTCAGAATTAGAGAAGGGAAAGGAACACATGAAAACGAAAAGGTTACAGCAAGAATTGCACTAATAAGCAAAACAGATGGAAACAGAATCCTGAACGACACGTTATTCCAGTTCGTTAGCTTGGTAGAGGTTTTATTTTATTATTTCATAACGTAGTTTTGCGAGACATTTTGCCACTTAGTGCAGAACTTCAATTATTTTGCATTCAAGAAAAGGCAATTATCCACCTTAGTCCCAGTTTCGTACTTTCGTGCACAAAGTAGTGTAGTAAAAGTAAGTACGAGTTCACAAGATCCTCAATATTCAGAGGATCATAAGAAAAGAATAGATCTAAAATATGTCATGCAATGTATCCGAAAAATTACGGATCACAGTTAGCAGGACTACACTTCTCTCTTTATGAGCTTACACTAACTGTTAGTAACTTTACGTAATGGCAAAATACTTTAACCATACTTTATTATAAAAATTAAACCACTGTACAAGAATCCACAGACAAAAGACAGAGAAAGGTAATATTACTTCAACAGACTCATACACACTAGTAAGGATTCACAATTCAAGCAATCCTCTATTTACAAACTAGTCAATTATCAATCGAAGCGAGTCTCTCAAAATAAGTTAACAAGACATCCCACTAATTAGCTAGTTCCAAAAAATGTATACACATTAGACATGGGGCAACTAAAGAAGACAGAAGTAAGACTTTCAGATTTCATTTAACCTATTTTAGTTAGGACTAATGCATTTCAAACACAAAAACTCACCATTTAGTATTCAAGTACCTATACAGCTGTTGAGTTGGAGTTGTGAATAAAACTATATTCTACTCATAAGTAAACCAATTAAAGCCTCTATCGACTAACTAAATCATATACGATTCACATGATATCACTAATCAATGGCAGCATTGGTAATGATCGAAGTATATTTGAAAAGTAGGAATCAGTGCGCTTGATAATAAATGGTCGAGGAAGTAAGCATAGAAGGCGATGGACAAGATGAATTTACTGAAAGTGAGCTTTCTTATAGTAGTGATGATGGAAGTATTGATACGCTTGGGTCAAGTCAACACAGAAAGTTGAAACGACTAAGGAAAATGTCTAGTTTGTTAAAAACACAAATGGATGTTGGTTTTCCGAGTAGTTATACTTCACAGTTAATCAAATGGTCAGTTGAGTTGGAAAAGGAACGAGAACATCAACAAATGAAACTTAATGTGAGGAAATCAAGATGGAGTCAGTGGAGTAGAAGGAGTAGTGTTCTGTTTCAACCTAGCGTCAGGAAAGTAATCGTCCCATTACCGAATGCTGTACGAAGTATCCTACATGAGTTACAAATATGCTGGACTGTAATGCAATTAACTTCAGTTGTTTGGTTTATGACAAAAGTTGACTGGCAGTTAAGGTTATATGGTCCATTCAATGAGTTTCCAAATTATACACCCAGAAGTATGCCTTGGCTCCCATCACAATATGAAATGCATACACGTCTTAAAGTCTCATTAGTAATGCTGATTTGCTTTTATATCCCAGGTGTGCTTGTACACTTTAATTACGTGTTGGATGATTGTCCAGATGAGTAAGTTGTCGAGTTTATGTTAATGAAAAGGTAAGCGCTTCATAAAGAAAGTCTTCACTTCTCCATGTACCTTAAATCAGTTAACAATTTAAAGGAAAACTAGATTTAATTTGCATAAACTCATCGATCACTGATAAGACTCAGTAGTGGAGTGAGTGAAATATGCGCTCATAAAAAATATGACTTCACAGATAAAAATGTTTCTGAGTGGAAAAAAGTTATTAGCAGAAGTGCACAGTCTTGGAAATGATCCATATGACACCATAAACACAAGCTAGTAAGTAGAAGAAATTACAACTACCTTTGTGGTATAGTGGAGCTAAATCCAAACTATATTCAAGGTTGGATTTACCTGGAATTAAACATCATCCTATCGAACGAATTTTTTCGAAACCAGTAGTAACTAACAGCAGACCTGAGGTATGTGAAGTTAGGGTAGATATTATTTCGTTGGAAAAACTATGACTCACTGATCTACTTCATTCAATAGGTTAGATCGCCACTTCATCAGATACTACAATAAGTTTAGTACATGCAACTTGATTTCTGAGATATACTCTAATTTACTTTGTACAAGAAAATTACAATACGTACTCCATTTTTTTCTCACTCGATACTCACTTTAGGATAAACTGTTTATCACCACTAACCAAACTGAAATGTTTTCCAGTGATAACCATGGGAAATAACTATATTAATCTAAACTGGAAAGTTCCCCATAACACTACTTGTCCAAGTAATTACTCAAATTCAAAAATATTATTGCATCATCATAGTGTGAGAATAGAGACAACGTGGTTCACTGATTTAAGCACTCGACTCTCAGTCAAGGAGTCACACGTTCAAGCCCACCCCACCTACTTCGCCTTGAGCTACCAGGTAGTATCGTGACATCTGACACAATTAGTGTGGCTCACAGTCTTGTAAGTAAATCTGTACCGGAATGAGTTACATTTATTATCATATTTATATTAGTAGGCAAACATCAGCATTATATTGAAAACCATTCTGTAAAGATTTTATCTCTATCTCATACTAGGGATTGTTTTCGACTGTTAGTTCAGCATAGTTATGTTACTGTACTCGGTTATGCGTGGGGGTTATTCGTAGTAAACCATATCAGGTGAAACAAATATCGAACCGATAACCAACAGAATGAGAGTAAACATGCTGTCTGATTGGTTGAAAATTTCTCTTTCCCAGTACCAGATTTCGCTTAAAAATATTGCTTTCAATTTTAGAACTCCACTACAGTTGGTAAGAAAAGTTTTCGAAGCTCAAAATCGTAGAAAATCAATACGCAAATCAAGAAGATGGACATTCGATACTAGGTTCGACTTGTACCGTCGGCCTCGAAGACGACAATGGGCAACCTGTACAATAACGGTTTTCTTAATTTTGCTATTTTTTTACAATGTTACTATATTAATCGGTATGTTTCTGCAGCATTATGAGTGTATAAATATAGTGTGTTATTTAGTGCAATCTTAATTAGCAAAAATAGATTTACTTTAAAATCGTATATCAAGTACGCTAAATCACGAAACAAGATAAATAGAGACATAAAAACCAATGAACACTATCATTGTTAATGAGGAATAATTTAGACAACTATAAAATACATGGTAATTCAAAAAGTTATAAACAGGTATTCCAAAAAAGTAAGGGTAAACTTTTGAAAATAATAAAAATTAATTCAAATCTACATAAATGTTTTAAATGACAAATTAATCAGCTACATGTAAGCTCAGTTCACATAAATTCCTAACCTCAAGACGTCTAAAAATAATGATAAATCAGGAAACTTTTCATTGGTAGTGTTTTGGAAAACCTGAAGCTAGAATTGTCGTCTACGCTCAACTTACATACATGTCATCGGACTGACTAGTTTGATTTATTCCAGACAGTCAAAGAGAAAGGTTAGCTTTCATATAACAAATGTGATTCAAATAGACAGACAGACAAGTGCATAGGACCTGTCATTATTGCGTAATGGTCCAAGTTGTCACACCTCAGATCAGTATATCACATGAGAAAGCAATAAGATGAAAGACTAAGAAACAGTCAAAAGTAGTACAATGTGGTAAAAAGAGAGGAACAAAACATGAGAAAGTACTGAATTCAGTATGAAGATTAATAAGACGTGTGGATACATCTGTACCACTAAGATTGATACTGAGCCATGAAGTACTTCGTGAGTCAAGATTCAGAAAGTAATACAACGTTGTGAATGCGGCTATTGAGTACTGAAAACGTTGATAAATCGCATTTTGATTGGGATCCGATTCTTATCAAGTGCCACCAGTTGTCACGATGACCAAATTTGTCTGAAATAATTAATCACTTTTATGAATTTAGACAGTGTAATTAGAAGACGAAGTTTATCTGAACAATGTGATGTATTTGTGCGATTGTTCAAAATGTATCGCGTAAATACATCATATAGTTCGGGTAAATTTCGTCTTCTAATCGCACTAACAAAATCAGTCACTTGAACAAATGAGAGCTTTTTGAAGTTATTATAAGTAGTGAAAACTTTCACCGAATTCGAGCCGGTAGGTACGAATTTTCGAGTGACTTAACAGCCACCCTAGAAACTGCTGGGATGAACAATTACGCTTCTTTATTTTATGAAACATCACCGTGCTGGCCAGAATACTGAAGTCTGATTGGTTATTTTAGTAGTTTCAAAAGTGGCCCTTAAAGCCACTCCGGTTTCGCAAAAGTTAAAACAATCAAAATCAGTTTAGGATAAAAACTTTTACTGCATCAAATATTTAAATTAGCATAGTAGCGCATAATGAATAAATAGGAAGTCCACTGACGATGCCAAACTAAGTGTTACATTGGCAGGTTGACTTATTCTCTAGAAGTAGGATTTATTTGTGACTAATGGTACAATCCAAGAATGAGCTTTAGCTTCTATAGGGCCCATTCCACCGTATGTATTTAGTTTCGAGTAGATGATATCACTCCTACTGACTATCGTTAAAAACATCTAAAGGTTAACTACACAACAACGGAGTAATGTCTTGTACAACGAATGATAGTTATTTGTTTCTATGGCACTTTTTATCAATCAAACAGAATGTAGATATCAAAATATATCACTATTTTAGTTGACTGCAACTGTATCACAGTTAAATCATGGGAAGTTAAAATTAAAGAATGGCTGAAAAATGGTCAACAAATTTACTTCAATCATGTGAATGAGTCAATCAATCAATCAGATCCACTGGAAAAATTTGGGATATTTAACAGAAGCACGGATAAGCATACATACTCGATCGAGTTCACATAACTTTTAAATGTTGTGGACCAGATGGATTTATAGCATACAGAGATGAAATTTTGAAATTCCAACAAAGGTGGGTTACTTTTATGTACGATTGAAATTATTTTAATCAACTTCTAAGATGTGCCTATGGAAGAGATCCTATATAAATTTGTTAAAGAAGCAAGGGGAGTAAATTAATATGTAGATACTATGAGCCAAATGCAGTGAGTATGCAGAGCAGAGCATGGAGATATGGGAAGTGAATCAATGTACCAATAGTAAGTATTTAGATCACTGAGATGTAAGTCTGTGTGGAGTAGAAGGGGTGAATAAACAACGAGTTATGCCCTACTGAGTACCGGAAGCGAATTACAAGTCACCAGAACGCCAAACTTATTGATGGATATATAACATGATCAACTGTGCATCAGTGAATGCAGCATAAAGTGATAAGTGACAGAACCACTCGTACTCAAAGAAGTTTGATGATTAAGTAACGACAAGTGCCAGCTGAAGTAAGAAATACGAAACCGTAGTGCACTGTATCTGAATAAGGCGCTCGAAGACAGTGAACAGATAATTCTGGATTTTACTTCTTTAATTCTTGCTAATGACAAGTATGACTTATCACAGTGTCAGTCACAAACATAAGTCTACAATCAATAGCTAAAGGAATAGGATTCATTACTGAGACATTCTCAAGTATGAGTGAATAAAATCCAAGCGGTAAAAACTGCTCAATACAGTTTTGAAGATCACTACTTTTAAATGAACGTAGATATGTATGTCAGCTAAAGCATGAACTCTTAATTCCCGAAATGAACAAAAATATTGCCTGTTTATATGAGAAATTTACGGCAACTTTTTTTGTATTTAAGCAAACAGCAGTTTCTTAAACACATCGGTATACAACACAGCTGCTGCAATGATAACTTCTCCGATTGCGATAATACCGATTTGAAAAAAAGTGAACAGTTTTATCAGAATGATTGTGTAAAACCAATAACTGAAAATATTATCTGTCGTTGGAAGAAGTTGGCATTGATAAACCTACTCATAATAACTATATCACTAGTAAGTTATTCAAATTTACATTCATGAACATTAGTTGGTTTATATTTTCGACCTACTCTTTTGAACATGCAGTTACTCACTTTGGAGCACAGGAGGAAGAATGCTGTAAATATAACTGCATGAATGCTCTATAGATTGAAAAAGGTCATTCATGATTGCGAAAAACACCATGGAATCAAAATTGTAACATTTGTTCTACTTTAGATGGAATACGTATACAAAACACTATATCGAATAACGTTTCCCACTGATATGTTTATGAACACTTCTTGATAATTTGTCAAATTATGAACAGAGACCAAATGAAAGGTATTCAACAAAATTTATCAATGTCATGACACAATAACTTCTTATAGTAGTATAAACCAATGGATAAATGTGAATCTTTAAGAAAATGACTTCGTTTCGAAGTCGGAAGGTGAAAACATGAAAAAGATGAATTCCGAAAGAGGAAATATAGATCAAGCAACATCACATGAAATGAAAAGTAGTGCTTCCTGACATTGTGACACCAGAATTTAGTTGATAAAATGTATAATACCAGTGAATAAGCATGAATCCACATGTTTCGAAATGATATTTAAACCCAGCCTCAAGTGGTATAGTAAGCCGTCAACTCAATACTCTCAATAGAGGGACATAACACGGTTTGAGATATTCCACTACCTGACTATCAAGACCAAATTACAGCTTAGTAAAATAATATATTGGTCCAAGTGTTAAACCCACTCAGACTCAGCGAAATTCCCAAAGCATCCAGAAAAAGGTTGTATTTGACCATTCTTCAATAAGCCGAACTCAGATCCAAGTTGAGGTGCTACCTTTTGGTCACACATTTTGTGTTCCATGGCCAGGAACAAATTCACCCCAGCTTGAAGAAGGATTTTGTTAAGAAAACAAATCTACATCAGTCTAACCCAGGTAGTCAAACTATTTCAAACCAGCTTTGCCTAATTACGCAAATCAGTTTATGAAATTACACGACTTACACAGGTCTCGAATCGAACCGCAAACAACTCAGTATTCACTAGCAAGTTATACTGAGAAAATGGACACCTCCTAGATCTTTAACTCTTTAGCTCTAAAGTCTACATGGAATTCCCGATTCTAAGACTAACACTTAGTCTAGTTGGAGATACAACTAGCACGCCGTGTCACAGGATTTCTCAATGATGCAAAATAATTTATTCACTAAGAAAGTAACGATGATATAGAACCTCTCGGTTAATATACTTTTAAAATATTATCAAGTTAAACAGGCACAAGATGCACGATGGAAAGAGTTGAGTGAACAATATAACAGATTATACGCATAGAACAATTTTTACCAGACACTGTGTACTGATAACATCTTTTCATGTTAACAGATTCCACAGCTAATACTATTTCTAAGCATTTTTCACATACGTGCTGCAATACAACAATATGCTATAATCATTTTGGAAATGTATGCTCAAATAACATTTTGGCAAAGAACGAAGAAAATAACTCAACAAAGAGTGAGACAACAATCGGTGAGTTACAAAACTTCACTAGGTTAACAACCAAACGAAGCATTTCCTTTAGAAATGACTGCTTTTATCCACGGGGTCATAAATTAAGAAGCAATACTAACGTACAGAATGCAATGTTTCAAACTTAAACGTAATGATTACAATTCATTGATAGAAGAATAAAATAATAAAGCATCGGGTTGGGAGCCTGGTGGTCGCTGGTTTGAATTTGGTCACTGTCCAAATTCTCGTTTTACCTTCAATCACCACCCAGTATAAATACTAATCTGCTAAACCACGGCCATCTCAGATGGTCAAATAATAATAATAATAGTAATAATAATAATAATAATAATAATAATAATAATAATAATAATAATAATAATAATAATAATAGCTAAAATAAGTGGACTGCATTACTGTATCACCCACTGGTTACTTTGCATTTCTTAATCAAAATTAAATCACCACCCAGGGGTAGACCATTATGTAGGTCACTGTCTACTAATATACGGATTATGTGGTACCATCTCTGTCCAATGAAACGCTTAACCTCTGTCTACTACTGCAAGAGTGAGTTTGACTATGCAAAATACCGACAACGGAAGTGAATTAGACGATTATTTTGGTTTCTGGTTCACCTTTATCAGTCATATATAATCTAGCCCCAGACGGAGCTCAATCGTCTTCGACAAAGGATCTTCTCTATTAGAGTTGGTCAAACTCATACAGGATTTTCTACTGAATATCACTAAATATTAAGTAGAAAGTAGATGTTTTAGATCAATAGTAAGTTTCTACTTGCAAATGCTCAACCAAAATGTAAAGTCTCGAAGTGTGGGATGCGTAGTAACCAAGAGTAACTAAAGTATGAAATATCGTTGATTGCTGAGCAGTGATCAAACAAACTCACGAGAAAATTAAAAATTATGCAAGTGAGGTCTAGGTAAAAGAACTTAGCAAATACAGACTGCTTTGAAATCCTTACAAATGCCGTAGGTCAATCCATTCGAACTGGTTGTAAAGACTGATTATCCCGTTGTTTACTCAGTACCATCTGTCTGAGTGCAGTCCTCCTTTTAATGCCTTTAGTAGCTGTACTGAAGGAATCAATAGATTATTGCTCTGTTTGTTCAAGATATTATGCCAGTTGTGACGGACGCTAATCTAAGCATTCATTCACTAGCAAATAAATCATCAATTAATACAGTATTTGAAAGGCAGATTTCTCAGTCACATAAATAAACTTAGATTATATAGTAATATTCAGTGATAGTCAATGTACTGGATGTAGTGGGACTTTCGCGTGTTGAAATCTTGGTAACCTTTTTAATTTTGTACGAAATAAACCAGGAATAGTAACAAGCTCAAGCTATATAATATGCTGGGTAGTAAACGACTACTTTGTTGTCACTTAAGATTAAGATTCAAATCGTAAGGGAAGATACAAAACTGTAATCATAACAACAATAATAATTTGTAAACATCCAGACCACAGTTGCTGCGAATGTCCTGGAAGAAGCTGAGGGCTCAGTCCGACTAAATCATTATAAGAACACTTTTTTGATATAATTTCAGTGTGTTTAGAAAATCAAAACAAGATATTTCTGAACGTTTCTCTGTGTAAAACACAGCTTCTTCAGCAGAATATGCGAATTTTTATTATCATCAAAATATAGTCAAATGCTACATCAAATATTTATTGAACGTATTGAACGTGTTTTTCTGTCCAGCCTGAGTGATTAAGATTAGTCATCACAAGTTCACGCTTTTTATTGTCATTTGTCAACGTATATGTACGATAGTCAAAATGTGAGTATAAAGAAACAACACGTATTCTACAACATAAATAATATTGTATTTTTGAGATGAATGGGGATTTTTTAATTTAGAAGTAGTATTCACCATGGACCGACATCAGTTGGGGAACCATTGAAAATCCGGGAGCACTGGACAGCTGTTTCATCCTAGTATGGGACTCCTCAGAAGTACGCACCCATGACCCGGCTAGGGTCGAACTCAGGACCTTCGGGTGACCTGTGGGGTCAACCAGTCGGAAGTGAAGTGGATGGTAACTGAAGACCTTGGGTGACAGTCACGCTATGTCGTGAGTTGACAGAAGTTGGAAATTGTAAACCACTGGGAACCGACCCAGTGGCTGAATGGTTAACGCGTTCGCCGTGGAACCTGAAGGTCCTGAGTTTGACCCCTAGCCAGGTCGTGGGTGCGTACTGCTGAGGAGTTCAATACTAGTACGAAACAGCTGTCCAGTGCTCCCAGATTTTCAATGGTTCCCCAACTGATGTCAGTCCATGATGAATACTACTTATAAATAATATTGATTGGTCACCGTATCTAAAATTTAACTTTTCAGAATGATTTCCCAGAGTATTTTTTGCAGTTCTAACGGAAAGATCAGATTTGATATTTTACAATGGTGGCATTACATCTTAGATTCACGAAAACTGTAAACTAGGATCTTCTGGATTCCAACTCAGTGACTAGATGAACACGCTTTCTTCATCATATGCAAATATGTTGGGTTAGGTTGCATTTAGGATCGATGGTGTGCATTGTTAAAGAGTTTCAAACAAGGGCAAAGCAGATATTCAATGCTTACTGAATGGCTAGACCTGTGAAACGGATGTTAGTGAACTGAGGTTCGTCCCCTTTTTAATTGATTTACAGGACTGAAGTAACAGTAATCTGTAGTTAGAAACGCCACATAATTCTATTCGTAGATTGACAACAGAAAAACAAATAGTAATTCTAAATATTTATCAATTTCATTAAAAAACTAATAGGCACTGTATGTGTTGTGATTAACAACTATGCTTATCCTTATTGTGACAGGAATTGCTGAGTAGACCCTCAAAGAACCATCTCTTAAGATTGTCACAAATACAGTTCAAAGAAGAAAATAATATGAAAAGAAGTGTAACGACAGAAGAATAACGGGAGCGATCTTAGTCAGCCCCAACAATCTTGAGTGAAGTTGTTTCTCTTTATTGCTTTAACTCTATTCATTGGTTGAATACATTTACGATCAACATGATATTCTTTATGAATTTACCAGAGTTGTTAGTGAAAGTAATATATAACTCCGCATTCACATATGGATAAGGCATTAGTCACTGAACGGGTAAATTAATGTATAAATACATCAGTTCAATTTTCCATGCTTTGCAACAGTACAGAAACATGAAGTCGACAGAAATCGAATGACAGTAAAATAAATGAGACGATAATTACATAAGGTTATTGAGAATATCCAAAATTGCGTTGATGATAAAAGGTGAATACATCCGCATTATGGTGACCGGTCTCCAGTTATGTTACCTAAATTCCCTAATCATTGATTTTTAACACCTCGAGTCCCATGATCAATCGGTCTACACGAATCAGAACAACAGTCAGCGACCTCACGGACTGATGTCATATCTTCATGTGACCACCTTTGATGTATCCTTTTTTGTAATCCTACTCAACTTAACATTGCGCGTCAGGTAGATAATGGCTTAGAGAATGTCCCAGTTACTCCAATCGATGAAGCTTTACGACCACACCAACTGAGCTGCATCTCTTCGCTAGTGCTTCATGTCTAACTCTAAGGTTGTTCACTCTGGCGTGCCACAGCAAAAGAGCGATGCTGTCGAGAAAAATATGGTAAACCTGCGGTATCCTCATATTTTCCATCTTTAAGAACCATGCCTCACAGCCGTAGAATAGGAAAACGTTGACTATCGCGTAGTATACCTGTCCTTAGATAGGTACTTCGATATAACACTTTTACTGACTATCGTCTTGCTGGTGTGTCTCTTTGGTAAAACTTAGGAACCAACGAGTATTGCTCAGTACCGATGTGTTCACCAAGTATTCTGAATTCGTCAGCAACCCCTGTTTGCAGTCATAACAAAAATCTACATTAGGAAGTTTCAGTGATTGTCAATCCCTATGGTGAACATAGTCAGTCAAGATGAGATTTTATGTAGCAACCAGTTTGAATGAGCTGGTGAAGACTACTGAACGTCTTTGCTGCTGTGTATACGGCAAACAGTACTACACAATGTTCCACTTGCATAAGGATTGTCGTCATATTCAGATAGGGTGTTTCTCACACCAACCACCATGAGGTGAGGTCGGGTAAATAACTGATTGACTTCAGCGGTCAAAACCACCATAACCAATCAGTGGTACTGCTAGATAGTCAGAATGAGATGGTTTAAACATCGAACAACCACTTCTTTCGTTTAGAGTTATTAGTAGTATACTTGGATTGATTCAGAACAGAGAACCGAATCGCTTAAACTACTATTGATAGGTTTAACTCCATACGATCGAAACAAACTTTCAGGTTTTAGAGTACCGTCATTTTGGAAGCGAGTATCGGTGCTGGTTGCTTCAAGCAATTCCAAACTACTCATGGATATCAGTAGTATTCAACAAAAGTTTTGCTTGCCTTGCTTGCTTACAACATAACTTGTGGTCTAAAAACTCTGTCGTTTAAAGGAAATGACGGTGTAATCTTATAATGGAGTTCTGCTTAATTGTAGCATTTTCATCATGGACTGAATCTTGAAAACAGTTCCCATAGTTAATTGTACATGGGTTCTGAGTACGTAACTCAGAAATGTAGCACAAAGACAATCTGAGATTCCAGTTTTTGTAGATGCGGATATTGTGGACCTGGATGTGATAGCAGAACTTAAGCGACTTCCGCAAGGGGTCGACCGTACACGGGTGTTTCAGAGGCTACGGAGTTTATTTAATCGTTGTCACATAGCTAGGGAAAAACTCATCACCAGCAGCATAAACTCCTAGGGTTGAGAAGTGAGTTAACTTTTAGAGTAGACCTCATGTAACTCCTCCTTTCGATTAAAATGAAGACAAAATCAATTTGGATCCTGGCTACAGTTGAGAAGCAAACTACTGTTATCAGACTCCACATAGTCAGTAGAACAACTTTATATTCACATCTCTACTGTTAAGTTATTTAAGTTAAGTTATTTATATTGTACGAGTACCTGCTTCCAGCCAGAAGACCATTGTCCAATAAACTTTTCCATCATGATGGAACCTCAAGTAGAAATTGTTCTCGTCAGCATATTTTAACTAGCCCTTCCGACGGGGAAGTATGACTACTAAATTGTACTGATTCTATCAGTGGCCAAAAACTTCACCTGACTGCTAAAACCTGCATCGATGATTAAGGTTTTGAGCCCAATGAACAACAGAGTTACTACACGTAACTCTTAAGGTAAGAGAAGTCATGTATCAAATAAACTGAAATTATAAGTGAAGTGGTCGGATGTTTATTTATTAGCAGAACGAAGTTTTATATGAATCAGTATCGTTGCGAAAATCCTTTTAAGTGGGAGAGTACCAAACAAACGCATATTCTACTTTAGAACTGTCAACTAGCGCATTATATCTTTCAAAGTATAAAAATATGTATCCAGGTTAAGCAGTAAGCAAGTTACCTTTGAGTCGACAGATAAAAGTTTTACAGTTGATACCTTTTTACTGTAGTTAATTCGAGATACAATGTGATCATATAACACACAAATAAACAAATCTAATATACAATTAATTTCTACCACAGTGTCCAAGTTTCGCACCTATATTACTACAATGTGATTAGCCTACAATATATTAGAAAGTGCACATAATAAATCATTACTGTGCCTCATACATGATTCCGAAATATTAATACCGGTAGTAAAAATAATGAAGGAATTCAGCTTAGACCAATAAAACTGTAAAAAAACCCTTACTTATCTAGACTCTACAAAACAGTTCTTACAACATAAAACTTAAACAGACAAATAAATAACAAGATACACTTACCAGGGTTTTCTATTACACGATAACATAAAGCATGCATCGAACATAAATTTTCCCACTCCATGAGTATATTATGAACAACAATACTCAAATGTTCCAATCGTGAAACAGTCCATTCAGCAGTTTGATGACGTAGATACAATGAAGAATTTTGATAGATTCCATTTAAAGGAGCTTGAATACCAGTGAAAAGAATATCTAATTGCCAACTGCGACGGTGGGTAAAGGGATCAAAATGTGGACGAAGCACCATCTCATGAACATAATCTGTTAAGGGGATAATATCTGAAGGATGCCAGCCTGGTGGATTGAAGGGTATGCTGTAAAAGGAAATGACCTCAACTGCTGACGAAACGTGAATTTTTTTTCGATAAATAATAACTTACTGTTGAAAATAGTAGTAGTTCCCAATAATTCAAACCAAAACTATAGGAAAAGTAAACATTTTCAATCACACCATATTAGGAAATACGGGACTTCCACTTATTTATAAGTCTGGCTCCCTATCGGAAGAGCTAGTCAACAAGGTCACCTAAAAATTTTATATATACGCATAAAATTGTGTCTACCATGATCAATCCAGAGCAATATTCAGCGTGTGCATCTCCTTCTTGCATTGTCATGCTCTTATCGAATGTCGAAATGCATTCAGCAATTTTGTGCACATTCGTGCATAAGGCAACGAGGGCTAATAATACCGCCTGACTGTCCAAACCTCGATAGGTGGAGGAGTGTTCGAACACGCGACCCATTAGTTGAAATTCAATTACCTAAACCAATGAGCCACAGCTCTATATGCTAATGGCTGGGTTGAGAATGAGAATACAAAAATATGGGATGAACTTCTGGTATATCTTTTCAAGCCATATCTTACACTTGAATGTGAATCATATAGCTTATTTATTTATATGTCGCTAACAAGTAACCGATTTAAAACACTAGTTTATAATTACATAATGAAAGTATGTTGTGGTGTACAATTAAAAAGAAAGCAGCATACTATCGTCTACTTTGAATACAAGGACAGTCGTAACCTAACTGTCAAGAGATTAGTGAGGAATAGAGGGCAATTCATTCAAACGACATGCTGATGAGTCAAACTTTCGCAGTGACAATAAGCCCAGTTATGGGCAAAAGCACACTGTCGTCATACAGGTCACATTACTGTTCATAAAGGACAAAAACGTACCCACAACAGAACGGTCACAGATTTAGATTTTGAGACGAATAATGATAACAATTCAAACCACTCGATTGAATAATATGTAGGTCACTTGTGCAGTATTAATGCACTGAAAGATGTAAACCCAGCATAAACGTTGATCACTTATCACTCCTATACCCAGATAATGACTGCCTCTTCACCTCTTCCAATCAACCTTAGAAATATCAATCAGTAATGCACCAAATAGATACTGCTTTGACGACATATGTAGCGATTTTATCAACTGGGCAGAAATGTGTCATACCTAGACACACTTTACATGACTAGGCCATTACTTACATAAAGTTATCCCTGGATGAAAGCTACGCAATGAATAAGTAAGAAGTTACGTTCAACAGGCATCATATGAAACCTTATCTTGCCGAAAAATTTCACATCTATATCTTACAGCAATAGAGAAAAATGTCTTACAAAGTGATTTCTCCTTATTTGATTTTCGCGATGCAAATATTCATCGCTACTCCTACCTCTTAACGAGAAACAGCATAATTGACTACATTCGCACACACAAACGCACACTGCTGATAATCTTGAAATGAATGACAAACTTGTCACCAACTGAAACCGTACGAGTTTTACGGTGTTTATATTACCATGCATTAAGAGGACGTTGTATACAAACACAAAGTTGAAAAGTCTTTCTCTGAATATTAGGTGAATACCATTGCTACATATTTTCTGTAGGGCTATTATCGTAGGAAGTACTTGACAGAAACGGAAGTTGATCGCAATCAAATTACATAAGACAACCCCCTGGAGACAATCTAAGGTGAAAGACACCTAATGATTTGGATGCTGAAGGGAAGGTATGAGTAACACACAACCAAGTCGCCGAAGCTGGTGTTTCACGACGTTACTTGTTGAATAACTGCCTTCATCATGCCACCAAGGCTCAGAATAACTCACATGATGTGACAAATCATATGGAGATAATGGTCTTTGGATATTCTCAGATGCAAGGTGCCGGATTTTACAGGGGCAGATTATAATTGTAAATGAAACTTTTAACAGTCAGATTAACATTTTTCTCTTATCGGTTTACACTTTAATATCCAACTGCGAATCGCATGTCACACCTTCCTCAGAACTACCCGTACACGCAAAATTTTCGATTACTTCCAAAATTTCACCAACAAGAGTGTAAGAACTCAATCTTGACAATCTCTCATAAGTGATTTGCGTTCCGATAGTATACATACCGTACTTACGGATTGTGATCATCAATTGATTAAATGCTCTTTTAGCAATATGTTATCATGCAGAAAAATGAGATCGACCTCATGTTAAAGGAGGAATATTTTTCCTCATGACTGTAGATCAAGATCACCTTCAAGGCGGGACTAGGAGTGTCATCGATCGCGTTTCATGAGAAATGACGAAATCAAACAACTCCTAGTCACTCAATATCGGAATTACACTGATAAACAGTAGTTGTTAGATATGTTTCCTCTATCAAAGATGACTGCGAATACTATATATATATATATATATATATATATATATATATATATATATATTGAGTAGTTGAGTGTATAATTCATGATGCAGTATACTCACTCAGTAAAGAGAACAGTATGTTACTGCTTGAAATCATTATGAAATGCTATTTCATGATTTTGATGAAGGTTGAGATACTAGTCAGACGTCTGGACTACATGAATGGCTGTATTTGGAAACCACTAGACTGAAATTAACTTCAAGTCTGATCCACAAGACAAAGAAATTACATATGGTTGTATTCTGGTGGTGAATGACTGAAAAAGTAAGTCAGTACACCGTTCGTTTCTTCCGGATACTGAAGGCAATGTGCACTATTGGTGTGGAATCAGGTTCGCAATTCTCTTAAACAGAACCGTTTTATCACCCAATAAACAGTAAATATTTACTTCCATTCTTTACTTTTTGCACAAACACTCCATCCCCTCCCCGTGAATGCAGCAAATAAGTCATTGTCCGATAGAGGCTATGGAAAGACGACATTTTGAAGTCACTTCAAGAATACGAAGAGGATCTACCTGATTTCGGTCACCAAATGGTATGTAGGGGTGTTAAACCTTTGAATATTTTACTGTATGAAGTCTTAAAAACTAAAATATATACTAATAATAATTTTACATGATTTGAAAATGAGCGTTTACCTGGTAATTCCAATTGCAGACAAGCAACCTGAACCATCATAACACATTCCACTGTGTTCAATTCCTGCGCAAGAAAGCTATATTGTTTTTAAAACAAGTTTGTGTAAAAATACCGCCAAAATATTTTCTGTTAAACAAAAACCAGCAAACAATACATCAAAAAGAAAAAAACACAGTTTAAACACGAACCTTTCAATGTTGAAGCAAATCAAAAGCATCCTGCCAAAGAACATATCTAATAAATTGTCTACATGAATTCCAAACAGGTATGAAAAGCGAGCCGCACACACAAACTAGGGTACCAATCGAACAAGTGAAACAGTGTTCATATATTTGACACTATTCTAGACTCTGAACCACTTCAACAGCGTTCATACATCAGTTTATTTAACTTATGAAAATGAAATTAATGATTCGATACATAACCCTAATGACAAGCAAAGATGGCTCTGTCCTAAGAAGTATACACAGAAAACCGACTAGGGCAAACCATACACACTTTCTTAGCTTCATGACAATGAAGTGCAAACGGAACATAATGAGATGCCTAGCGCTTAGAGAAAGATCGATTTGTTTCAAGGAGTGTGTGGGAAAAGAAAAAAAGAAACGCGAAAACGGATATCCTGAAAAGTTCATCAAAGCAAACAGCCTACAGTAATCCTAAACGATTATTGATGACAGTGAAGAAGAAGCCTTTGTCTTTGCAACTACAATTCAAGGGAGACATCTTGCCAAAACGCCTAGCTAGAGCAGTGAATAGAACGTCTAACTCAGGTCGTCTTTGCCTTTCTTTCAGTAGTCAGCGGATGCTCATTTCGAGACTAATGGATGGCCTAACTAATCTTATCTCCTCATCTTATACTTATCCATTTAACTGTTTTGTGGATATGAGAAGATTTACCGGTTTGGTTTGGAAAAGGTGAAGTGAAAGTGGGGAAAAGTCCTATCGTAGCGCATAGATGCTAGTACAGCTTTTAACGTGGACCAAAAACAATACCACGTGCAGCTCACAAATGAATACACAGCCCGGCTGAGGCTGTCGTAATAAGATCGGTAAGAAAAAGCGTGTTTAACTGCAATTCCTCTCGTGGCCTTCATTAAATTAAAAGTTCTTTCCGCCCTCCATGTTTGTTACCTTTTCTTTTACAGGTACATTCTTCATCTATATGTAATTCATCTTAATATTAACAGATTCAAAAGGAAAAGTCGGTGTTCTTTACAGTCCATAACTCACATTTTATTCTGAAAATGTATTCGCTTCAAACTTAGCTTGTTTTATACCATACATACATAAATTTTTCCAACCAAATAACACCAAAAATCAGTGAAGAACAAAGCCAAGTCACTAAGATTAATAACTGAACTGCTTATCAGGACCGTCAGATTTAGATTGTCCACCGGCATTCACTGTTCTGATTTCTTAACCTATTGTCTTATATCTAGCTGAGACACAACGTTCGTCACTTGGTCGCTGAGTAATTCATGTGCTAAAATATTTATTCAAGTATTCTAGTGTATTTCTAGTGCTAGTTGGTCACATCTTCCAGACGTACTGAAACCAAGCGTTCACATAAGTTGTGCACTGAACCTTTACTACTGAGCAAAACCCAAAAATTCAATAATATTCAACTCATGGGATAATCCTAGTTAACAACTGAATAGGCTTGATAAAAAAGGCGTGCATCACTGCAGGATCCTTGCAAAACTTACCTCCATTATCAGATAATTTGTGAGTATGTTCTCTTCTAAAGTGCCAATAAGACGCCCCAATGTTGGCACAGTAGCTTGAGGTTCAGATAAGCTAACCGATTTGTTGATAACACTAGAGCAAACCATTTCAGTGTCTATTGCATGTGATAGTTTAATTCGATTTAATAATTCACTTAGACGTGATGAACGTTCATTCTCGATATTACATTGAGCCTTTCTGATGCAGGCACATAACTGTTCAAGCTGAAAAGGAAGGAGATACAAAATATTCAAATAAACAATTACGATAACCTTTCGTATCAGAGAAAAAGGAAGAATAGAGAAGAACTTTGCCACAAAAATCCCACAGCGTACAACTCTTAAATATTCAACTATGTTTACTATCAAGTTAGAACATGAAGAAAATCATTTCTAAAAACTCGGCTAAAACGAAGATCTGTTTTACAGAGAAAAATGGATGCATCTCATCACTGACCATGAAGTTTTACATCAAAAATTTGTTAGCGGTAAAGTTATAGTAGGTGATAAACTTTCACAGTTATGTGGAGCTTATTACTTCACATGTGAGTAGCAAACAGTAATGTTCAACTCATAAACGTTGAAATTGTGCAAAAGTGAAGCCAACTAACTTTAACATTTTTGCAGTGATCGATAACCAGATTAGCTATATTCTAGTGACTTATGTACATGTTACTTATTAGTAATAAAACTTCGAGAGCATAAATTTAAGAATATGGTGCTGTTCAGATTATGCGACTGTCATCTGATTTTCTTGAGTAATAAATAATAATTATGCTGATTTATCGCTAAACATCCGACTGAACAACTATAGCTTAGATAAACCTTCTTCTTAGAGTTGAGCCGAACTCAGGTCCTTTGTAATGGCATATTTTTAATCTAAATGTAGTAGAGGCAATAAATGCACATTTGCAGTTTGCTTTAAATTTGCTGTGGTAAAAAAGATTTTTTTCCCCAGTTTTAGGTGTGACATAATGAATTCATCGCGTACGCCGAAAGAATTCCCAATACCGCCTGTCCAAATACACACTTGATACACTATTATCTTCAATCCAGTTAAGATCTCGTTCACATGCAAAGGAACTATACTTGAAAGATACTGCTTAAAGTTACGCGTAAAAGTTTATCTTACTGGTAGAGGAGTTTCAAGTTTCAGCATAGTCAGTATATGATCAGTGTAAAAGGAAATGTACTCTGCAAGGAAATTCCTGAATATTTCCTAATGGAATACCTATCATCTGTAAAACTATGATAAAACCAACCTACTATTACTAAAAATAACGAATTTAAAAGTGACAGATAATTCCTAACACTTGTTTGAATATCGCCTGTTCAAAGCTGATGTGCATATTAATTAAGGACCATAAATTCGGCACCCTGGTAGGGTATGTAGCAAAGTCTTGTCAGCATATGTTACGCTAACGGCAAAAGTACAATTGAATTCATTGGAAGATTCGAGAAAAAAATCTTTTTAAATGATTCTGTTAGCCTTTACTCAATCGAAACGAGAAGTTGTAACACCATATGAGCACATAGATTTACCGTTTCATAAACCTTGAAAAGAAAGATACAACCAAAAGCAGTATTGCGATGCAATCGTTCAATGTATGCAGCTGATTGGCACAACGTCCATGGAAGACATCTAAGTGTTCACATTGAATCAGAAAGTGATAAAATGCTCTGCCGCTGTTGATGCTGTGCTTTTGAAGTTTACTTATTTACTATCCAGTTCATTTTACAGAAACTATTGGGACTATGTCTTGTGTTGTACACAATCATTCTATAACGTTGATACATCTGTCTAGCATGACCTTTGACCGGAAACTTGTACGGAGCATTCTTTCATATTACATATATATTTACGCATGTTCAGTTGAGAAAATGAATCGTCGAAAAGATTATTATATTCGCTATAACCTCCTTTTTTTCAGTGACTAAATGGGGATTTCTCATTATTTGAGAAAATAGTCCTTACAAAATTCGAAAACAATGTAAGCCAAAAATTTATGTCAAACTTAAAGCAAACTGTCCAGTACAACAGTCCTATCAAGAAGCAACTCATATAAGTAATTAGATAACACTGATACCAGCCAAAAAGACATGAAAACGACTGTCAGTTTGTCAAAGGTTGGGTTCACCAATAATGAAGTCTAACTAATTTCGCTAAAACTATATCACCCGACTGCCATGTGGATCTGTGACGCCTTACTATCGCTTGCTCGAACTCAAACTAATTGGCCAGTCAGGACTTTTCATCCTAATCCAAATCTACTTAGATTAGAAAAGGGGAGTATTGTATTGATTACTAGCTTGACTATCTGAGGTAGCCGTAGTTTAAGAGACTTTTCTTGATACTGGAAGATGATTAAAGGTGAAATGAAAATCTGGACAGCGGCAGGATTCCAACCAACAACCTACAGGTTACCGACCCGATGCTCTATTAACTGAGCTACAGGACTCAGCTGCTGACAGAATTTTTATTTCACTTCAACCATCTTCCAGTACCAATAAAAGTCTGCAAAACCACGGCTATCTCAGTCAAACTGAAAAACTGTATTATTCAAACCATCTCATTTTTCTATATGACAGTGGGATTAAGTGAACATACATGAATTAGATGTGTTTTTTTAACCCTGACTGTGAATTTTTCAAAACACAACTTTTAATTCTGTTAACAAGTGTAGTTAGGTTTGAGCTGATAAAAGGTAGCTAAAATCACACAGCAGTGATAGTATACTCGATGAAGAAACGCGATGTTACACCTGAAGATTAGTGGGAGGCAGTCATTAATTCGACACTGTTAGGAAGCGTTAAAACAATGTTGCATATTCGCATGAATTGTGCTTTAGATTAGATATGAAAAATAACGCAAGATAAGACAATTATGCAAAAGGAGAACATGCACAACTTTCTCAAATGTAGATACTACGTACACTGTACTCTTTATAACACTATAAAAGTGCAAATGAGCGTCTTAACTAACGAGAAAAAAAGGTTTTCCTTGCCACTAACATACCATCAACATGCTGAGAATAATATTAAAAATCAAGCATTTATTAGGCTTTCTGAAAAATCCAAGCTTACCGTTGTTGATGGATTATTTGACCAGACACTTTTGGCTATTAGCGGTGTGAAGTGAGTAACTTGGAGAAACAATCCAGTTTCAGTAACATGTTGTCCAATGGGAGGATTTAATTCAGAACTGAATACAAGTACACCATGCGAATTTGTTGTGATATTCATATGTTCTGAAAGGGCACTGCAAACAATTAAATAATATTTGTAATCCACACTCAATGGGGCCGAAGTAACTTCACATGCTACATAGTATTCGTTATTGGAAACAACTGTGCAAAAATAATAGGCCAACGAAAAGATTGTTGCAATCGAACTAGCATTTCAGAGCATGAATTTGACAGTGCGACTTGTGCGGGTGATAATATCAAGGGAAGATGACGTCTAAACGGTTGCCAAAATGGCCTATGTATTTTTGCGGTTTGCATCAATCGAGCTAAGCCCAAGCACAACCGCAAATGTTCCAAGCAATTACAAATTATAGAACGCCAACGAGCATCCCCATGTGATAGATTACGCAAACTTCGGGACTGGATTGAACAAATACGATCATTTTCGTGAGGCTGAACTAAGGTTCCCGAGGTAGAAACAAGGCGAACACGATGGGAAGAGGCCTGATTGAAGGCAGATTCCAATGAACTAAGAGTGTTTATCACACTGGAGCGGGAGAAATTTTCGGAAATCCCAGTAGGACCAGGAGGAACATTGATTGCTGATCCAATAGCTCCGAATTCGGTATCAAGTGAAGTTAGTAGTGGAAACAAAGCACATATAAAACCCTGTACGGGGTCTATGCGAACTTGCAGCAATTCATGTGAACCACAAGGCCATAAAAGTGGTACATACAGACACAATGGAGCATCAGCCAAGTGTACAGGTCCAGGACTGAGAATGAGCAATTTCTGTCTCAAATCCTACAAAGAAAAAACAAAGATAAAGTGAGTGAACACTCTAAATTGCTCACTTCATGAGAGATGTATTTCACCAGCTACATTACAGTAAACGGACGAATCAAATGAGAAATTCCGAAAATACAGTCGTTCATCATCTAGTGGAAACAAAACCAATTATCTATTACAGCGAAAATCGGATGAAGCCAGAGATGAGTTCTACTGAAAACCAAACGTTCATTTATTGTAGTGGCAGCAGGCGATTTCCATTTACAAGTAGGTAGGCTACGACAGACATGCAGGTGGTCAGCTTTGAGATCCCAGGCCAAAAGAACAACTGTGTCAGATAACCAACCCTTTTCAGATAGCATGAACTTCACACTTCATGATAAGAGACAGCCAGATGTGACATCCGCAAATCCTAACTCGACATGAGATAGATAAACCATATCATTATCAGCGATAGTAGATGACCGGCGGGAGATTCCTACTTCGCTAGAGCATATGCTTAGATTTCTTAATGAAAACCAAAAAAGCTTACGTGATTTTTCGTAGACAAATTCGCATTGTAGTTTCGATTTTTAACTTGTTTCATTAAGTCACAGATTTATTGTTTTTTATATTTGTGGGACACCTTGTTCAGAAGTTTCTTCCATATTTTCACTTTGATATAAAATTCGTACCAAACTTCCATTTTCTTCTTCTAACATTAGATCAGAGCAATAAAGTTTGGCTGTTGCCCCTAAGTTTTGAGTTCGATATGTTTTGTTACAGAATACTTTTTTAGTAGGTATCTCTCTACTGAAACGGACGATAACCATTGGTGTCCACTTCGGATGACCGCTGTCCCCGTACATGTTCAACTTCGTGGTAGGATTGCTAATCGACATAAATTTAGGTACCTCTGAATTCACATCCATCCATCGATCCATCCAAATAAACATAGGACCAGGCATTACTCTGCAACGGTCCGAGTTGCCACACCTCATATCAGTACATCAAGTAGAAAGGTAGTGAAGTGGAAGATGAAGATAAGAAAATTCAGTCACAAGAAATATAAAGTACTAAAAGCGACAAAGAGAGAATGAGAAAGTGGTGAGATTCGATAAAGCGTTAAGATGAGGATAATGTACGTATACATCTGCGCCACTAACATCGGTTCTGAGACGTATCATCTAGAGTCTCTAACCACTGATTCCTGTTGTCCCGCGGACCCCAACCACCCAGTCTGCATCGCCCCACATGGCCCAAACCAACAGTCAAAGACTTCATACATTGGTGTCATATTTTTGTCTGGCCACCTTAGGCCTTATTCTAGTCTGAACCCACTTCGGCCAACATTGTGTGACGAAGTAATCGGCGACTAGGCATACATAACACATGTCTCAACCATCTCAGTCGATAAAGTTCACAACCGTGTCAACTGATTTACCTCTTCTCCCTAAAACTCTACACCTGACTTCTGTGTTACTCACATGGTGACACCATGGAATACGGCTTATACTACGGAGGCAATGGTGGTCAAACAACCGAAGTCTTCTCATGTCTTCCATCTTCAATGGTCGGACTGCTGTGCAGCACACGCGAACCTTAGTAGAAAATCGGATATCACGGCGGCACCATAGGCGGAGTAAGTTGGCGAAAGCCAATTGAGCCTTTTGAAGTCGTGCAGAGATTTCATCGGCAAGTGAGCCACCAGGGCTGGTCCTACTTCCCAAGTGAAGTGGTCGACACACTCAATCACGTCACTCTCTAATGTTAGCTGTGGGACCGTTGAAGATCAATCCTGGAGCGACAATTTGCATTTGGGTGATGAGAACTGCATCCCAAACATTCTCAAATTCCCACTCAAAGTGTTCAGAAGACTCTGCATCTTGTCAGCGTCTTCACCTAACAGGACTATGTCATCTGCATATTCTAGGTCTAACGAAAATTCTCCTGTGATTAGGTCAACGTCTGTGTAACCTGGTAACGAGATGGAGACCTCCATAAGAATATCTATAATGAAATTGAATAAGAATGGAGATGGTGGGCATCCTTGATGGACACCACCCGATGAGCATAACTCCCCATACATCTCACCATATGCTCTAACATGCCCACAAGTGTTCGAGTAGAGAGCTTTCAATAAGGTGATGTACTTACTAGGCACGCCTTTCAGTGACAGACATTGCCATAAGACTTCTCGATCAACGGAGTCAAATGCCACCTTCAAGTAGAGAAATACAGCTATTGTCGGGCGTCGGTAAGCGTGTCTATGTTCCAGGACCTGGCACAGTGTGAATATTTTGTAGATGCACCCGTGGCCGTGTCTAAATCCTCCCTGGTTTCCTCGGGCTTGCTGTTCCCGAGCTCCACTCAGGCGTTGGACACTATGTTCGTCAGGTTGATTCCTCTGTGATTATCACAAGAGGACTTCTCATCTTTCAGGAAGACTAGAATAATCAGTGATTTAGACCAGTCAGAGGGGATCGTATTTGATTCCAATATATCGCTTAACACTTCCGTTAACCTGACTAGGAGCACCTTACCACCACCCTTGTATACCCTGGAGTTAGTCTGTCTGGTCCTGCCGCCCTTTCCCGTTTCAGGTTACCTACCGCTTTCTTGACTTCTCCTAGTGTTGGGGGGCCTGTCTCTATGTCCCATTCAGGATCCGACTGGATAGCGGGCAACGCAATGGTGGCTGGAGGCTAGTTAAACTGTTCCTCGAAGCGTTATGCCCATCGTTCCAGTCGTCTCCCCTGCGAGTGAATCACAGATCCGTCCTTCTCTGTTATAGCCTTACTAACTGTTGTCGATATTTTGCCCCCAGTTTCCTTAATAAGTCTAAATAACTGTCTAATGTTACCAATCGCCGCTGCCCTTTTCATCTCCTTAGCATTCGCTGCCCACCACTGTTCACGGTCGTTGCATAGACTTTCTCAGTCTACTTTTAAGTTACGCTCGCTCTCCATTATAGTCAGGGCCTGCAGGCAGGGATGCGTTCACGTGCATGCATTAGTTCAGAAGAAGCTGTGGTAGTGGTTTTTTGGCTAAATTTTTCCTACGTTCATTGAGATGCTGACATGTACGCGCTCGGACCAACGCGTGGTCGCTATCCAAACACGAACTCCAGAAGGAGCAGCAGTCTTTCACCGATCCTCTCCATCTATGACTAATAGCAATGTGGTCTATCTGTGTCTATCGTTGAGTTGAGCTCAGTGGACTCCACATCAGACAGTGTCTTTCTTTGTGTCTGAAATTTGTGCTAACTAAAAATAGGCGGTTATCTAAGCACAGCTGTAGTAGGCGATCACTGTTATCTCCTCGTTCAGCCGGGATTCCAAAAGTGCCATCTAAGTGCCTTTCTGCCTCACTCAGTCTACCCACCTGTGCGTTGAAATCACTTGCAGCAGCCACCACCTCCGAACGTTTGGCTTTCGAAAGGAGGTTAGACAGTTTACGGTAGAACTCGTTCTTCACTTCATGCGAACTGCGGTCAGCAGAGATTACAAAGAGACAGCCGCAAGTTTCAATATTCTTTTTAGTTCTCACTGTGCCATTCAGTCAGATAGAGCAGAGGCGACTATCAACTAGGATCCATTTTAGTAGTTAGCTTTCTGCCCTAGTGCCTGTTATGCCTAACACCTGCAAGAGCGCGAGAGCTAACCATCAAATCTCCAGAAACTCGAAGGGTGAATTTTGCGGACTCATTATATTGGTCCGTAGAGGTTAGGTGAACAACTGCGCTTGGATCCTGTATGTAAGTCTCACAAACACAGTACACATTCATGGCCCAAGTTGCTAGGGTCTTGGCCAATGAAGCTTGTTGACAAATTAGACGAAGGGTGCGGACATTGAAGGCCCCGTTGTGCAATTTGGAGTGTAGTTTAGGGAGACCAGGGATGCGGTTCTGTGGATTCAGATAGTTATCGAAGGCTGCAGAACTAGGAGAAATTGAAGATGCTGTAGTATTGTTAATTGAGACGTGAAGGAAGATTCGAAGGTAATGATGGGGGAGGTGGATAGCAGTCTGAGGAAACTTGAGTGCTGATAGAGTTGTGAGGAAGATTGACGCCTCCCGGCTGCCCACATCATGGAAGGCTATTTCTTCTTAAAGTATCTGAAAGAGATCTGTGTGACCGCAGAGCCCATTGGACGTCTGCTTGAGGCCTGTCACACGTAGCCTTTCGTGTATGATTGTCTTTAACTTTTGTTGTTTTAGGACCGGATGGTCGAAAAGAAATGACAAATGAGTCAACACCGCCAGCCCGGCAGACCGTGGGGTATGGTGGAGTGAGTTATTTTTGAGGTCGACATTTTCTGACCCCACCTTCCACAGAGACACCGGCATCAGCATGGCGCTGCCAGTCATCCAACGGAAACACCATACTGCTGTCACATCCCATCCAGCTAGCAACAGTACGACTTCTCCCTCAGACCCCCATTATAATGTGGCCATTTACACTACAAAGTGAACAGCTTTCGTCCTACTACTACCCAACAGACCTTTCAGGTAAAGTAGGACATAGAGAGAACAAGTATTCCACCAGTATAGCACGTTGGGTCGTTGTGATATGCAAGCCCGACCACCATATCAAAGTAGCAGATATCGGATAGGCTGAATTCGTAAGGACTGATCTAATCCTGGAGAGGATCTCGTTGGCTTGGAGTTCACAACCCCATAAACTGACTTTCCTTCGTAGATTAAAAGTTTATACCTGGACTTTAAGGTGCAGAAGTAATGACACCACTTGCGTCCTGAGTCACACGACCTATGCAATAGAGGCAACGATGGTCGAAAGTATGAAAGCTTCTCATGTTTCCTTACCAATTAATAACCATGTTTCACAGCCATACAGTCAAACACACACAAATACAGCACAGTAAACTCGACCCTTAGTAAGCAATCAGATACCACACCAAAGCCATAAATGGCATACGTCGGTGAAAGACACTTCCCAAGTAAGTAAAGTGGTCAACACACTCAGCCAATTCACTCCCTATCGTTAAACAAAGCATCAACAAAAACCAGTCTTGAAGCAACGATTCGCATTTCATTGGTGAAAACCACAGGCAAACTTCCTTGAATCCCCACCCAAAGTATCAAGGGGACCACATCTTGTCAGCATTTCCACCTAGTAGGACTACGCCGTCTCCGTAATATAGGCCTTAGTAAGGATTCACCTTCAACAAGGTGAGAAGAGAGAGACTTCCATAAGCACGTCATCCGCTAGGCCAATGAGGCACGATACCCACCTCTTTTACAACGGGTATTAGTCATTACTATTTGTTGACATACTTTTAATTCTCCATTGTTAAACTGAATCGACTTGTTCGACCCCTATTGGCATATGGGCTCCTATGCGCATGCCTCGATGTTGCCTGAAATATTTATTATCATTCACTTGGTTGTGGCTAACATCCAGCTGACAAGTCCCAAATAGGATGGAACGCGCGCCCTGGATTCCTCTACTAGCCACAACCAAGTAAATTATTGTAATAAATATTCAGGTAATATCGAGGCAACCGCATAGGAGCCCATATGCCAATAGAGGTCAAGCAAATCGATCCAGTATAACAACAGAGAATTACAAGCATGCCAACAAATAGTAACCACTTAGGATTCTCCTTTGACAAGATGAGAAGAGGGAGACTTCCATAAGCACGTTTAAGATGTAACTATGTAAGAATGAGAAGACCGGATATCCTCACTCGGTGCACACGACTCATCTGATGCCTTAACACAGGTTCTAACCTACTCATGTCTCCCAATGCGAAGCCGGTGACAGGGTAATGTACTTATTCATCATGTTTTAATGAGACACTACCGTAAGACCTCCCAATCGACAGAGTCGAATGCCACCTTCAGCTCAGGAAATGCGGCTAGTGTTGGGCATAGACAAGCGTGCCTGTGTTCCATGATCTGACGGTGGGTGAACAACTGGGCGACACAACCATAACCACGTCTGAAACCTGCTAGGTTTTCGCGTGGTTGTTGATTCACAGCTTCACTTAGACGTTGAATAATTATAGAACTTGGAGTGAACGTTAGTTTAATCAAGGCAATAGGCGAGAGGCCTTGGATTCAGGTTTCGTGCTTGTTAGCAATCGCCAGCAAGACGTGTATCTGCAACCTCAAGGGAACTGATGTTTACTCGGAGATTCGATCCCGCATCAAACACTGTTGCAGTCACTTACCTCACCACTGAGCAATACGGATCAAGAGTCTTAGGTGCGATGTTCTTCAAACCTATCTCCCTGCCGTTATCACAACAGGACTCATCCTCTTAATTGAATACTGGAATAATCAGTGATTGACAATAGTCAGTGGGGATCATATCTAATTCCCATATTCTAGTTCACACTTCAATTAGCCTGACTAGTAAACTTATGACCACGAGCCTTAAACACTTCCAGTATTAGCCCATCTGGTCCATGTGCTTTTTCTGGTTTCAGAGTAAATAAAAGAATGGTGGCTGGAGGCCACTTAGACTTTTCATTGAAGCATTCTACCCATAGTTCCAGTCGTTTTTCCTATAAGTGAATCACAAACTCACCCTTCTCCACTTTTGTCTCATTAACCACTGACCTTTTCACTCGTGTCTTTAATGTCTAAGTATCTGTCTAGTGTTACTTATAGCCGCTAACTTTTTCATCTCTCTGGCCTTGGCTGCTCACTACTGCTCACAGTCATTGTGTAGACTTCTTTTCAGTCTACAAATCAGTTGCTTCCGCTCCTTAATGTGGTTGGGACCTGGAGGAATGGGTTCACACACCGATAAGTTTTGAATACGTCACTAAAACTCACTGACTCTTTCTGACCACTTCACAGGAGTCAGTTGTGTAATTTAACGCTGCTTTTACTGAGAACAAGAGATGGAGCCAGGCTTGTTCTGAAGAAGTCCTGTTCTGTTGCAATAAGTGTTTGGCCAGTTTCTCGCTGAAAGTAGCCTTAGTATTTTGTTCGTCGAACTGTTCTCACAGTGGCCTTATTGTCGTAGTTATTTAAGTCCATTCAGGCGCAGGCATACGCGTGTTCGCTATCCAAACATGTGCTCCAGAATCACAGTAGAAGGATACATAAAACTTAGACACATGAAGATAAGACATCAGTCCATGAAGTCGCTGACTGTTGGTCTGATTCGAGCAGACTCGAGATGCTGAAAGTCAATGGTAAGATGATCTGCGTAACATGACTGTAGACCGGTCACAATAGTGCGAATGTATTCACTTTTTACTATCTATGAAATTTTGGATATTCTCAATAACTTTATCTGATTGTTGTGTTTCCTTTCATAGCACTTTTCGCTTATTTTACTGTCATTTTATTTCTGTTGACTTCGTGTATCTGTGCCGCTGCAGTGTGGCAACTTGGACTGATGTAGTGCTGGACAGGTTCGACGTTGAGGCTCGCAGTATTGAAGCTATTACTGATGTCAAATGCATAGCGAATGGTGGTCTGAATAAATTTTGCGTTAACTGGCATTCTCACTCTGACCTGAACATTTCACAAAGGCCCGGTAAGACGATACAGTTACGGGAGAGATAACTCTGAAAAACTAGAGATTACTGAGCTAAATTAATTAAAACGTCACTATCAATGCAAATTTCCCAAAGTATGCTGCACGTAACTGCGAAATGAAGTGCAGCACTGAATAAGCAACTAGACACGAATAAAGCTTGCCTCACATGATTGATATGCAACTTCTGCAGCTCCAGTGAACGTGTCTTGATTTATCAATGAGTTTAATCATTCGGGTAATCAATACGACAAATAATTAATTACCTGTAGCATTTGTTCAGCACGAGCTACCATTGTTCGCGTCAGTAGTGTTTCAATAGAAAGACAACTTCCCTTTTGCACACAAAAAGATCAAAATTTGAGAGAATTATCACAATGAATTAAGGTAAACATCTCTGATTTATTTTTAAGTGTAACCGGAAAAAAATTTCCAAGACTAAACTTGACTAACCGGGATTTGGGTGTGAAGATGAAACACGAATCTATTTTAGATGAGTTCATTGTCATTGGTGAAGGTACACAGAAAGTATCACAGCTTATAATTAAAAAGTGAGAGATTTCTACAGCTTTGCCTTACAATTAATTAAAAATCGTGGACGTACACTAGACAACCGCACGGACTGACAATCATTTCTTAGTGCATTTACCATGGAGGTAACTAACCGACCAAACCTGAAGCACCAAATTTCAGGACAAAACTTTGACTAAGCACCTCCAGAAATTACATTTCGTAGAACCTATTACTTGATGGAAAAACTGCAGAATAAAGTGTAGTTTAGTATGCAGACTGGAATCGATGCAGACAATTCACCATGACCAAATTTGGTAACCTTTTGTTAAACATTAGTATAGTTTTGAAATGTCAAACGAATCATCTCCATCAGTCATCTAACAGCTTTGACAATCTTGCAGCTATTTTATCAGAAGTTTTGACAAAATGATATGCATCAATGCATAGCACACTTAAATGATGGTGAGTGCGGCAATCTTAGTTGTCGTGTTTTACGACAAAGTAATCTAGCAAAATGTATAAAAAATCTTTATGAGTAATCATTAATTTTAACTGATTTGATGTAACTCAACCTAGCATATGTTCATTTACTATGCTTTGAGTTACACTTCTTGTATGAGATCTTACAAAGTTATCCAGTTGTCACAGTGGAGCGCGATTCGAACTTAGGAACCATTATTTCAAAGTTAAGTTTTTAAGATGAGAAAAATTCTCACCAGTAATTATTAAATGATCGTAAATTAACATACCTGCACTGTAGCTCCAACTAATTCAGACTTAGAAGTATTAAGCTCAGGACGATGACTCACACAAAGAGGACGCTGAGGATCTGTCGGATCAACATGGATTGTAAGTAAATAGGCTGAAAAATAGGGTAAAAAGAAAGGATTTCCATAATATAACAATAAAAAAATACCCACGAAGCTTAAAAATGCATGACTTGTCAACCAAGGCAACTTTAAGGAGCGGATTAATTTTTGAGGAAACAGAATTTCAAAAAAGCTTCACTTTTGTATCTATGAATCTAAAAACAGACGAAATACTCAGAAGCATGAAACGATGTCCCATGTAGTCCCGAAGGAAGTGATACAAATCTGGACAAGAAAGTTCGAAAGAAGGACCACATGTCTGACTGATACAGTGATAGAATTGATCAGTAAGTCAGTAAATATTGTCACAAGACCTGACATTACTGCATGACGGTTTAAGTTGCCATACCTTATATCAAAACATCAAGTGAGAATGTAGCAAAAGGAAAGACAAGTGAAAAAGAAAGCAATCAAGAGTGACAGAAAGTCGTTGGGAAAAATAAGCAGGAGTGAGATAATACTGAAATTAAGTATGACGACTAAAACAAAGACTTTATGTGGATACATCACCACCAAAATCGATTCTCAACCATACCACGTAGTTCTTCAGCTGTTAACTGGATCCTAGCTAAGAAGTCGGTATTTCCCTTGTACCACTCAAATCAGCAATCAACAACTTCCTGAATTAATGCATTGCTTTAGTCAGATAACCTCCATTTTCTAACCTGAAATTACCTCAGGTAACATTGGGGCGATTGGGAAGACGGTGAACTGTCATGTGTGACACATGTCCCAGACACCTCATTTGATGAAGGTTCATAACCCATCAACCGACTTGCCTCTTCTTACCAAATTTCTACATCTGAATTTCACGTTAGTGAATTCGTGGCACTAAAACACGCAACCTATGGTATAAAGGAAGCGGCGGTCGAACGCACAAGACCCTCTCATGTACTTCCACCTTTTACAACCATGTTTTACAATCATACAGTCAAACATCGTGAACTGCAGCACAGTAAACTCGACCCTTAATAAGCAATCAGATACCACGCCGGAACCATAAATAGCGTAAGTTGGTTAAAGACACATACCAAGTAAGTGAAGTGGTCAACGCACTCAACCACTTCACTACCTATTGTTAAACGAGATAGACAGACAAAATAAACGTAGCGCCTAAAACAGAAGTCCATCGATCAAGTTGCGACACTTCAAAGTAGAATGCAAAGAAGAGTGATATCAAAGTAGACAAAGGTGCACGGGAAGAAAAAGAGTTTGATAATGACGGTAAGTGGAAACTTTCAAGGTTTAAGAGAAGGCAAAAAGCGAATACATCTGTGTCAGTATATCTTTCACCAAGGATCTCCAACCATTGATTCCTACCATCTTGACGACTCCAACCAGGCAATCTACACCTCCCCTTATGGCTCAGAACAACGGTCAGAGACTTCATGGGTTGGTCCAAAGTCTTAGTCTGGCCACTCTAAAACTCCTACCAAATCAATCCAACTCCTGCCAGCATCGCATGCCGGTAATAGCTCGGTATGTGGGACACTTGTTGAAACTACCTGTCACTGAAGGTTTGCAACACCATAGAACAACTTACTCAGTACCCTTCGCCTAACCTCGACATTGCTCAAATGCTGATTCCACTATACGCGAGCAATGGCACGAAGACAAATACGGTCAAAAAACCTGCAGGCTTTTCTTACGCTACCTAGTACCCCGATTACTCAGTAATTCCTTACTTCCTTCCTTAAAAAATTCAGGCGGCAACCGTTATGTCCTGCTGCTTTGCATCGCTTCAGGTTACAAACAACTTTCTCAACTTCAAGGAAAGCTGAGAGACCTATGTCTACGTGCCAATCATATTCGGGCTGGATGTTGGGCAACTGAAGCGTTGTTGTGGACCAGTTGAACTGTGATTTAAAGTGTTCCACCCGATGTTCTAGCCGTCTGTCCTAAAAGGTTATCAGGACTCTACAGTTTTCGATGATGGTCTCATCAAGCACTGTCTTCTTCTTCCTTAATGGGTCTACATAGTTGCTGGAAGTTACCTAACACTGATGCCTTCTTCATCTCTCACTCTCGCCACCGACCACTGCTCGCGATCGTTGCAAAGACTCTTAGTCAATTTAATTTCAAACTGCTTCGGTTCGCAGTTATGATCAGAGCCAGCTGAAACGAGTTTTCTCGGATCAACCAGTTTGGATGACCTCACGAAAACCCAGTGACGTTTACTAACCTTCGGATGTAGATTACCAACTTTCTTCGCCGCTGTTTCTACAGCAAACTTGATATCCGGCCAGGTATCCTCAGGATGAGCATTGCTGTCACGTTCAGACAGGTGCTTAGCTATCTCCTTTCTAAATTAGTACTTCACTTTCTTATGTAATCGAACACACATGGGCCTAACTGCGGCTTGTGTTTTGGGACCAGTACGGCGCAGACACACACGTGCCCGTACTAGCGCATGATCGGAGTCGAAACAGGTACTTCAGGAAGGGCGCTGATTCTCTTCAGCGATGACTTACAACAATATGATCAGTCCGTGTCCATTGTTGGTTTGATTTCTGCGGACCCATGTGAGACAGTGTCCCTCTTTATCCTTAAAGTTAGTGCTGACCAGAAACAAGTGACTGTCAGAACAAAATTGCAACAGATCACCATTGTTGGTTCTTGAGTATGAGATTTCGTACGTACCTCCAAGATGTCTCTACAACCGGTCAATAACACTGCGTTAGTTAAACATTATCCATCATTTTAACCATGTTTAATCTACCGCTAGAACAGAAAATATGTTTATTAAAAAAAAAAATGCAAGTATGTATACATACCTGTAGGATGTAGTTTTCCATCTAAACTCATAACTGAATTATACTGAGTTCTGGCTAAACCATGCCAATAAGAAATCGACAAACACCTACTAGGCCTATAGGCCTCTACTGTGAGTTGGTCCGCTGATCGTTTTGAACGTGCCCGTTGTGCCTGTTCGTGTAACAAATCCAACTGAAGTGATAAACTGAAAGCATCTTCACGGTATCCAGTATATGTACACCATGTTAAGGAACTGTCATATTGAAAAAAATGGATGGACAGTAAGGCTGTAAAAATAACGGTGGTTACGCCTACCTGTTTTATATCTTTTGCAAACACTGATATATGTTGTTAAGAGAATGGACATGATAGTATGAAGTATGCAGTAAGTACTGAGAGCACAATATAGTCCTAAATTTCCATAAACCCAATGGTAAACGCCCCTGAAGCTTGTTTGCTGGAAAAGTAGCATGGGTTGGCACTTCCCGTTTGCACACATCGTGGAAGGGTTGGATCACTAGTTTAGGTAATTAACTTCCAACCAATAGGTCATAGGTTTGAACCCTGCTCCACCCACTCAGGTTTCCACAGCCAGCTGCTATCAACAGTCCTTACACAACGGGTAGGTTTCACTGTTAGGTGCACAAACATGCACTTGGTTGCTGAGAGCAACGCGATTCTTTTTCAGAAGTAGTTTATGCAAGATACCTGGAAGCTTCATGTGACTGCAGAGCCCAGAGGACATTTAATTGAGGTGGATTATAGTCTTTTCCAAAGTTCGAGACCGTTTTTCCTTTAGAACCCAGTTACAAAACTTCCACCACCGACAATGGAAGACTGTATGGCAGAAGGGAGTGAGTCTCTTTAGGAGCCAGCCCTTTTTTAACTCCCCGTCCTCATAGATAAGACAGTATCAGTATGGACTGCTGGTAATCCGCGAGAAACACATTGCTGCTGTCACACACTATCCAACCAGAAGTACGATTTCACTTCTGAATCCCCAATATAACCTAGAACAGAAACTTATTACAAAACACATTAAGTTGCTGGGTAATTGAGCAAACTATAGTAACCTTACGCTAATTAGGGCCCAAGAGCTTGGGGTTGAAGTTTCATAAGAATTATAAAATAAAATGGTACGACTGAAAACAACAAGAAACCTACTACAGTTTCAGAAGGCTTCATTAAGTAGTGGGGAAAAGGATACGCAACATATCATACAGGTGAACAAGAGGTGGACGCTTATCAAACTGCCGGTATAGAAGACGAGATTGGGCTTGGTTAATTATAAGCCTCGTTTGAGCAGGATGAACGAGATTTTGATAACCTGCAAAACAAATACGAAAGCAAATTGTGATACAGAAGTGAAAGTTCACTACCATAAAACAATAGATTGGTTTGGACAGGATATTATCATTTCATAAACTAGACACGAACAGGCCCTAGATCCTACCATTCTTTCCTCAAATGCCTGAAAACTTGTTCGTATGAACTACTGTTCACAACTCAGGAATATCGCCAGGTTTTCTGGAAATATAGATTTTACTATCAACAGTGTACGTTAACCACAAAATATGTTTGCATTGCATCTTGAAACTGAGTGAAGATTATGGTATGGGTTACTCGTAATAGAAATGAGAGACTAATTTGGATGTAAGTATGCGATACCTAAATTGTCCTTTCAAACAGGATATCGTTTCGGTGACTCCATTTCTCTTTTCAAATGCAAAATAACTGCATAAAATTCCTATTTGATCACTCCGGACTTTTGATGCTTTTCGACATAAAAGTATAACGATCCAAATGTTAAGCTTCCAAGCTATTGAGCCGAAACTTCACTGATGGCCCCTGATGGATAGCTGGCACAATAGTGCCAATGGTTTAACTCAATCAACTTTATAAAAAAAAATACGCAAAAGCTGCGAAACACAGTGAACAGAGACAACACGAACCGAATCTAGTGATCTCGGAGAATGTTTCGTACTTATCCTAATCGACAGCAGGAAGATACTTGGAGTTATTAGGATATTAAAATTCAAGTAGCGTGCAGACCTGTGATTTGCCAGAATGCTTACAACGCTTGAAACAGCACAAAAAACACTTCAACTAATCCGTCTGCAAGCGGTAACTACCTCAAGTACTTGAAAGTTATGAAGCAACACATCACTACAGGCTTGCAGGAATGGAGGACATTCAATTTCGGTTGATTGAACAGTTGAATTAGATATTCAAGTAGGAGTGTTGTATAGTTTTATAGAGAATATACGTCATTATTATTCGAAAAACGTCTACACAATTTACGCACAAATTTCGATTTCGGGCAGGAAGCGTTTGCTGAAAATTATATCTACGCAAAAATGCTTGTCTTAAAAACACTTTAGCTAGGTTAAGGATTCAAAGATAGCTGTTCCCAGTGACTTAATCAAGCAGTACTCCTGAAAATACTACTGATTTTATCTTTCCTGTCACTTTTCCACGGAATCCTCCTGACTGCAGAGAGATAAATCAATGTAGAAGTTAGAACAGAAGCGCATCATAATTCACGCAAATTCACAACAGCATGCGAAGCCGTTAAAAAAAAAGGACAAAATAGCATGAAAGAAGAAACGGTAAACGGGTAAAAGCTGATGAAAATATTGAAGAATTAGATGATGACAAAGTGCAATCTGACCGGTTTTGAGCCATATCGAGTTTCCAGCCACTGCTTCCTGTCATTTATGAGACCATAGCGAGTAAGCTTTCATCTTCAAATATGGTTCATACCAATAGTCGACTGTATGCAACGGCGCCACATCTTGGTCTGTCCGTCCTTAGATTTCTTTCAACCTAATTTTACTTCGCCTAAGATCATGCTTCAAAATAAGAAACGAAATGAGGACGTCAAACGAAAGTTCGAAACGCACTCAGCAAACATATGCACGTTCGTACCGATGATACTAGTTGGCTGTCTAAACTTCGGCAGGTGGAGCAGGCTTGAAAGTTAATTACCTGAACCAGTGAGCTGCAACTCCAATGCAGCCAGCCAATTTCAAAATGAATTCTGGCAGTATTGCGTAACTTTCCAACTTGTCACACCTTAAATCAGCAGACTAAGTAAGAATGAACTGGCATGAAAAATAAGTAAATAAGTTATTCAAAATTTACAGAAATTCATCAGAGAAAAAGACGGGCCAAACCAACAACAAAATTTGATACAAAAATGAAGGTTTTTTTCCAGATGAATGGGGATTTTTAATTTAGAGGTAGTATTCATCATGTGCTGAAATCAGTTGGGGACATCAGCTGTCCAGTACTCCGAGATTTTCAGTGGTTCTCCAACAGATGTCAATCTATGATGAACATAAGTGAATGCATCTGAGCAACTGAGATCGATTCTCAGCCGTATCACTTAGAGTCGTCAATCAATGACTTCGTTTGTCACTCGGATCACAACCGGGTCTTAACTCTACCATACTGCCCAATCTAACAATGAGAAACTTCACGTACCTCTTTTCAGCCTAATCCTACTTCAGCAAGCACTGTGCGACAGTGCAGACTAAACTGGAGTAACTCGTATTTCAACCATTGAGACAGACAACGGTTACCGCGACCAACTGACTTGAATCTTGACTAAAACACTACGGCCAGATCTCGTCATGACTAATGCGATGTCTTTGCAACATGGACAATGCACAAAAGCAAATGGTCCAATACATGAAGCCTTCACTTGTTCATCCACCTTTAACAATCATGTTTCACAGCCATACAGTCAAACACACACAAATACAGCACAGTAAACTCGACCCTTAGTAAGCAATCAGATACCACACCAAAGCCATAAATGGCATACGTCGGTGAAAGACACTTCCCAAGTAAGTAAAGTGGTCAACACACTCAGCCAATTCACTCCCTATCGTTAAACAAAGCATCAACAAAAACCAGTCTTGAAGCAACGATTCGCATTTCATTGGTGAAAACCACAGGCAAACTTCCTTGAATCCCCACCCAAAGTATCAAGGGGACCACATCTTGTCAGCATTTCCACCTAGTAGGACTACGCCGTCTCCGTAATATAGGCCTTAGTAAGGATTCACCTTCAACAAGGTGAGAAGAGAGAGACTTCCATAAGCACGTCATCCGCTAGGCCAATGAGGCACGATACCCACCTCTTTTACAACGGGTATTAGTCATTACTATTTGTTGACATACTTTTAATTCTCCATTGTTAAACTGAATCGACTTGTTCGACCCCTATTGGCATATGGGCTCCTATGCGCATGCCTCGATGTTGCCTGAAATATTTATTATCATTCACTTGGTTGTGGCTAACATCCAGCTGACAAGTCCCAAATAGGATGGAACGCGCGCCCTGGATTCCTCTACTAGCCACAACCAAGTAAATTATTGTAATAAATATTCAGGTAATATCGAGGCAACCGCATAGGAGCCCATATGCCAATAGAGGTCAAGCAAATCGATCCAGTATAACAACAGAGAATTACAAGCATGCCAACAAATAGTAACCACTTAGGATTCTCCTTTGACAAGATGAGAAGAGGGAGACTTCCATAAGCACGTTTAAGATGTAACTATGTAAGAATGAGAAGACCGGATATCCTCACTCGGTGCACACGACTCATCTGATGCCTTAACACAGGTTCTAACCTACTCATGTCTCCCAATGCGAAGCCGGTGACAGGGTAATGTACTTATTCATCATGTTTTAATGAGACACTACCGTAAGACCTCCCAATCGACAGAGTCGAATGCCACCTTCAGCTCAGGAAATGCGGCTAGTGTTGGGCATAGACAAGCGTGCCTGTGTTCTATGATCTGACGGTGGGTGAGCAACTGGGCGACACAACCATGACCACGTCTGAAACCTGCTTCGTTTAAACAGAGTTGTTTTTTCCAAGCTTCTCTGAGACGCCATGAAGCACAAATTACACCAGCTACGAACCCAGAAACTAAGTTTATTGGTGATAAAATATACTGATTTACTTAAAACCTCGATTGTTTTGATAATGCACTCTGCTGGTTACATAATAGCCATCATAAATGCACATTACACAACAACCAGGAAGACACAAACAGTTAAAAGCTATCCCACAGGCCTGGAATTGTGATGCCGAGCTTTACTGCTACTTTTAAAACACGTGAAAGTGTATCCCTATAGTCATTACAAAAAATGCAATAATCAATCACCAGTAGACTCATTTGCATACATAGGATAATCGACGAAACTGGTGAGACTTAATTCTTGGTTGATAGGATGGAATCAAAACACAGAAAACCAGAATAAGACATGGCATCAGTCCATGAATTCAACCCAGAGATAATCAGCGTAGAACTTCGCACAGAATTGCATCGATTCAAGTTGCCATATTTCACAGCATCATGCGAAAAATAAGTGGAGAAAAAGACATACGCATACTAACAGTGCGTAGAAGCAGAGAGATGAAGGTTGGCGAGAATATATAAACTTAAGGCGTCAAAAAGCGAATACATCTGCACCAATGTAACCAGAATGTTTTGTATAATTGATGTGTACAAATTCTTAAGAATTAAAAATGAGTGAGCATAGAGTAAAAATTATCAAACCAAATGAAGCTTAGTATATCTTAAAATTGACTTACTCATAGATGGATCTTTTAGTAAAAACTTGATGTCTAATATTCTCCATGGAAAGTCCATAGCCTCCGACATCAGTGTTACAGTGACCTAAAAATACTTGGTAAGCACCGGAAACTTACAGTGAACTCGTTTGGAACAAAGAATTGTGCACGTCCCTCAGCTAGGAACTCAATTTATCAAAGTTGATATTACCTATTTTAATTGTTCGAAACTGATGAGGTAGTTGTGTTAGGCTTAGGCGATTCTGGATTATGCAGTTTAAATCAATCAGTGCCTGTTTCCGTTCCTTATCAGATATTGAATCTTCGACAAGGGCACAATTCTAAAAAAATTACTAAGTGATTATCAAACTACTTTAATTGATTTCGGAAGACGAGTATAGCCTTTGTTCGTAAAAATATCAATTGCGAGAAGTACAGAAAACGGTGGCAACCTGAGGTACTTTCGTGGAAAACATCAAGTTACCTAGCACCAACAAGCGTCTCTCTTAGAAGCCTAGAGAGTGCGTTAGCTGTGCTAATCAAGAAAAAGCTTTGTTCCTCCAGGAAGTTGGAAATTTTCTGAAGGAGAGCATTATTATTTTGCGGCATCATTACCTCACACTTATCAACTTTCGATGCACTGTTAGACCACTTCACAAGCGCTTCTAGTCTGATAAAAAGATGTTGCGTTCGGCTAAAAAATGTGGCTATCTCTATTTTCTTTTCAAGATCGGTCTTGCTGGGTAACCTGATTAAATAATTCACTCATCCAAATCAAAACTCACAGGTCAATAAGACGCATAAGGTCTGTGTATACTTTTTGAGAGATAAATTCAATAAGGACGGATAATGGTATGGTGCCAGCACCCATTCTACCGACAACATGCTCTAACTCCGACATAGTTACGAAAACTCCAACTTTGGCGCTTTGAATACTTGAAGGTCACAAAGTAATTTCAAAGGGTTGGTAACAGAGTGGAGGCTTTCAGCTACCTGGCCTTGAGATTACTACCGTTGGATCAGAATTCGTTTCACTTTTCAACTTATTTACAAACTAATTAAACTTAAAAAGACGGCGGATAAAATAAGAAAAGCAAGTTAGTCGTGTTTGAGCTCCTGCCTACATTGTAAGTAGATATCAGGTGGTTATTTAGGGGATTCAGAAGAAGTAACGTAGCCAGTTTCACAGAACAAGCTCCGCAAGATCTGTCGGCTCTTATGGAACAGAATTTTCGCCTGATATCTGATATGCCATGTTCCTGAGTTAATTCCTGTATGGTATAAGTAATGTTAGAAAACGACATAGTAGGTGACCAGAGGTGCTAAGGATATTTTGAGGCATCACTAAAGCCCCCCTCAGGTCTTCTTTCGTAAACCATCCTTTAGAAGTATACGTCAAGATTTCTTTCCAGATGCAGGCTTCTGGTTATCCTTCTTAATTTTTCTCTATTCCTAATAAATCCCATTTTATGATGACCATTTATGTGCACAAGGAGATAAACGTGCCACCACTGATCCTAGTACGTGCTCCAGCAATTGCTGAGTCAGTCTTTTCCCCTATGCCTTCCACCTCATAGGTCAAGGTGAAGACAAAATGACTAACTTTACTGCTGTGATTCACACAACCAAACAGCCTCTCGGGGTGACTGATTAAAATCTAAGTAAGGTGCATCTCGAGCTGTCCTGGGAGCAAGCGAACTGTTGCGGAACTCATATTTCCAGCCACTTTATGATTTTCCGAGCTGTAAAGTATCTGAACTGATGACGGAGCTTTCACACCGCTTCGTTTCTTTCCATAAACTACGAATATCACTTTGCACGCATGAATAGCGCTGTCTCAGTTCCTTGATAATGCCTCACGGAACCGCCTACTGTGCTACTCAGTGTTGCAATGGCCTGACGAAGCTACATGGATCGTTGAATGGGGCGTTTGCAACACTAGTTCATTCTTGTAATATATTTGTCAGCCTGATAGTTTTTTCGGCACATATGGTCAACCCAACATCCCTGTCTTGTACAACACGGCAACTTTTTGTTCGATGACACCTTCAGCGTCACGGGTTATGAGGTATCAAATGGAGATAATATGCCCCTGATGAGGGAAACCACGGTCCGCAATTGAGGCTTACCGAAGATCATGCTGCGCCTGCATGAGTTCGCTACGCAAGTCACTGAGATTGGATGTTTGGGACGACTCCTGGTCACCGGGCTGGTCGACGTCCGTAATGCTGAAAAGTGCCAGTCAGGTGACGATACTGTGGGTCCTGACACAAAAAACAACCGCTGCGTTTTCTCAATGTCAAAAGTGTCAGAACATTGTAAACCCGTTCCCCTGGTACTTCGAACCACCGATGTTGTTTTCCTTTTCCCAAATCTACCTTCCCGTCATCTAACTTCGGGTATGTATGACACTTATGAGTAAATAAATATTTTGTTCTCAACTGAAGAAGCTAACATGAGGGAAGCCAGTTCACAGGCGTCATCAAATTGATAATGGAAGAGAAATCGCCAACACTTGGGCTGTCCTAGGTGATGCAGAAGAGAGGACGTCAAGGTTTACCATGATTTCAGGTGTCTGCATGTTACGAAAAGAACAGGAAAATACCACTCTGCAGCACATACAGATTGTTTGTGGGTTTCGGCAGTTTTCATTCACCGTTTTTTTCTCACAAAAGTGGCATCAAAGTAGAACAATATCCGACGTCTGCGTTATCAGTGACCGAGATGCTTGGCCCGTCTATACACTTCCGTGTTTCTCCGGATAACTGTCTATTTTAACATCAGTCACATGCTTATAGGTTTGTTGACCAGCAAAAACTTACTTCACCGACTTCGGATAACGGTAAGTGTTGACACAACAGTGTAGTCCACGTGAATAGCAAAGTTCATGCATTTCCCATTCATCGTGTTACCTTACACAGCAATACAGATGTAAACCACTGGAATTAGGAGCACAGATTTCATGTTTTCGCTTAGTTTATGACCTCCATCTGTGTTTATTACGGCCGGCAGAAATGAGTATGTGTCGTTAGAATAGGTTGGGAATCTATGAGAAGCTCTCCTCAGCGTTGCAGACATTCTCCCAAGGCAGATTCCTTGTGCAGATACATAAATTTAAATTTAGGGCTTGAGAGTTGTATATAGACTCAGTATGCTTGGTCCTCTGGCTTAGTTAATTGGGAGATCATCAAGAAGCACGTTAAATCCTTATGTGCTTGGTAAGGCATACTTTAAGCTGATTATAATTGTGAGGGTATTTTAGTGAGCCTAGTTCTGCGATATCACCGGGTGCGTTCTCCATAGTGCCACCGTTTTGTCTGGAAGACACAGATGAGTGGGTTTGGTAGTTACTGAACACGCTCGATTGTCTATGCGTTCAGGGGATCTGGTATTCTGTGTGTTGTGGAGCGTAATTGTGTTGGACCTGGCGTATTTATCAGGTCACTAGAGGCCCAGAATCTGTTCAACAGCCGGCCAAGGTTAATAAGTGAGGTACCGACTCTAGTTTAAGCGCAAAGTTGATTCCATATTTGCGAGAATTTGACAGAAAGGAGGTTGGCATGCAGATGTTTTCTAAAAGTTTTCATTTCAACTCCGCGTGCTTGGCTACCTAGTTTGTAGTGGCCTGCTTGTAAGAATTGTTGTTGGCCAGATGAAAGTAACATATCATTCAGAATCTTAAAAAAGAAAACAAGATTTATCTATATTCGTCGAATTCAGAGTGGTGTCATCCTAGCATCCCAGATGGCGATGTTAGTATTGACGTGTACACACATTTTAGATGTGACCGGAGCAATAAGAGAGGAGGTGGGTGTTTAATATACTTTCTAAACACCCCAAATGTATTCAGGCTGAAAAATGTGGTGTTAAGTAAAATTAAAGACTCACTACGATTCTCAGTGCACTGCAAAGATGCAGCGGTACCGCCTGGTTGCATATACAGAGCACCTAAGATGTTCCATGAAGACGAGTCCCCACTCAGTGGTGCTCTTGAATACGCATCCTTCCTTCGATATGATCACAAGATTGTATGCTGAGATTCTAATCCACCGGAAATTAGATGGGAGACGTACACCTGTCCCACTGGGTATGATACTTTCCTTGGTAAGTTGGATATATTCGGATGAAAACAATTTGTCACTAGTCCGACAAGGGGTGAGAACGTGTCTGACCTAGTTATGTGTCCAGATATTCGTCCTCTTTCAACATGTGTTGGTTCCGAGTTCCCAGGGAGCGACCACAAGGCGGTACTGTGTTCAATACCACTCCCCTCTACAACCGGTACTACTCATTTCGCCTCCACCCTCTCACAATCCAAGCACAGAAGTTGTGATAAGACAGGCTTTGAGCTAGCTCATTCGTTGATTAGAAGTAGTGAATGGGGAATATACTTTAACACGGTTGATCTAGAACTGGCATTAAGCATGCTATATTCCAATTTCTACGCCTGCATTGATATTATAGCCCCTATGAAAAAATTAAAAATTCCCATGTCAAAAAAGCCCTTTATATCCCAGAATGTCCGTCGAAAACTGCACAAACTTTTGACAAATTACTCCAAGTAACATGACTTTGGAGCGCTTAAATCTCTTCTTAATGTCTTCAGTTCCATTCGTAATCATCAGGAGACAATAGCAAAAAATGACGAAACCACCGCGCTGGCCAGCTTCTGCAAAATATTTGCTCCCGTGGAACTTCTGGAGAAGCGATCCAACCGGCCGAAGCATAATATTCCTTTCCTCACTCACGATGGTAAGATCTATAATAAGCCTGAAGAAATGAGTGAATTATTCAGTAACGTGTTCACTGCTAGCCACTTACTTTCAGCAATCTCCACCAATAGTGTTAAAATAAGCGACCAGTTGTCCCCTCCTACACTGGAACCTATTGAAACTATTGAGTTCACATGTACTAACGTTAACCGAGCCATTAAAACACTTAGGTTCTCTAGGAGCACACGTATTGACCGAATAGATCCATACTTCTTGAAAAATGGGGGTCCTGACATTTCGTTATTGCTACTTGAAATATACTCCATATCCGTGGAGATTTCTACATACCCCGATATACGGAAGATGCGCTTCATAATACCCGGACACAAATGTGGCTCAAAAACTGAAGTCAACAACTACAGACCCATAAATATAGCGCCGGTTGTGTCTGAAATTATGGAGAAAGTGGTCAGAGAAGATGCTCTCCAACACATTATTATTATTATTATTATTATTAGTCCCTTGGGTTCCTAGTGGAACATAGGGCTTCAGTAGCACGCCTCCAGTGACCTCTGTTCTCTGAGATCTTTTGAACCTGGTCCCACGACAGCCCAGAAGCTCTCATTTCCTGCTCGCACGACCTCCTCCATGTCACCCTTGGACGTCCAACTCGTCGCTTCCCATGGGGATTCCACTCGAGGGCCTGACGCGTGATGTCCTCAGTCGGCCTTCTCAGTGCATGGCCAATCCATCTCCACTTCTTCCTGCATATTTGTTGCGTGATAGGTTCTTGGTTGGTTCGTTCCCAGAGTTCCTTGTTGCTTATTTTTTCTGGCCATCTGATCTTCAGCAGCGAGCGTAAGCAGTTGTTGATGAATGTCTGTAGTTTATTGGAAATACCTTTCGTGACGCGCCAAGTCTCTGAGCCATACAAGAGCACTGACTTGACGTTGGTGTTGAAAATCCGTATCTTGTTCCGCATGCTGAGTGCAGAAGATCTCCACACTGGTTTCAGGCTAATGAATGCCTGTCTTGCTTTTCCGATTCTGACTTTGACGTCCTCGTCCGTCCCGCCTGTAGTTGAAACAGT